TTAATAAATATTTTCGAACGTCCCTTTTTTTCTCCGATAGTCATTCGATATCGAAATCAAAATATATTATTTCCATATTTTTGTAATTTAAAACCCACGTAATAACAATTTTAATTCGATATAGATGTTATTAGTAGATATTCCCATATAAAAGCATCCGCACTGACATCGAAAATCATTTCTTAGTTTTGGAAATTCAACGAAGAATGAAGACTGTTATTGTTCTCATTGTCGCACTGTACTTTACATCAACATACGCGGCTGGTGATAAAAATTGTTATTCTTACGTATATGTTTACTCATTTTGATATGCTCTTGTAGACTGTAATACTAATCCCTGTGGAATAGCAGGTTATTACAATGAAACACGAGGCTATCGATGCCTTCAAGTGGGTGCCGATGCTTTATGTACATGCCCGGGACATAAATACACGTTCAACAGACCATGTCGTAAGTAAATATGAGAATAAAAGTTTGAAAGAAAGATTTTTTTATTGGTAGGTCTTTGTGGTAACGCAAATATTAGTGAGGATGCCTGCACAAATAGCAATGGAAATTTAATACTGTGTCTCGAAAATGATGACTGTGGAACATCATTCTCTTGTCTGTGCAGGGACTCGGCGGGAAACGGAGTACAGACAACGAACGCTGACTGTGGTCAGTTATCCTACGAATGACATGTCTTCCTTTCAACATATTGATTGTTTGATGAACTTTTGTTACAGATTTAACTAAACCATTACAATGTTCGTCAACAACAAATCCAGGAACGGGCCCATCGCCATGTCTACATGGTGGTGTCTATTCCGGCGGCATCTGTCATTGTCCAAGCGGTTATGGCGGAGCAGTTTGTCAGAATCGCGATGGTAAGGCGCTTTGTATTCTACTGAGGAAAACCTTTACTTGCTCCTACCATTTGATTTTCAGACCATAATTTATGTGAGAGAGTCACATGTAAAAGCGGCTATTGTGCCACTCAACCTCCTCAAGGTCCTCATCAAGCAGTTTGTCTCTGTCCTTATGGCACATGGGGAGAATATTGTGAAATGAAAGGTACAGATTTGCTTGAAACTTCTCATCAAAAATAGCACGCATGATTTACTTGTAGGAACATCGGGCTTTTGTGCATCAGGTTTATGTTTAAATAACGGAGCATGTCAAGAAAATGTTATCGGATCGACACGATTCGCTTATTGTAAATGTGCACCAGGCTTCAATGGTACCAAATGTGAATCTAGTATGTATTTACATATATGTCTCTATTACAACAACCAATTATTATTTAATTCAGATTATTTCACTTGCGCTTCTGCTGGCTTCTTTCAAGATACTCATATGCATGAACAAGGAAAATATTTCGAATGTAGAACTGTTACTGGAGGTGAGCAAAACTTGACATTCTTTGTATACATGTATTATCCTGTTTTGAATTCGTAGGATTACGTGCCGAAGAAAGATCATGTCCAAAAGGACTTCGCTTCAATGCGACCAGCCGACTATGCTTAATATAAATCAAGTGATCCAACAATGAAGATTCTTTTCAGAACGAACGAAGTGTTTTCTTTTTTCTTTCTTTGCCTGCGACTTTTCAATTGTATTAATAAAAATGAATATTCACTTTTGATTGATTATACAGCAGAGAAGATTTTGATATAATGTATCGATATATCGACAAAGAGTGGAGTAATTAAACTTGAAGAGTGAGTGGATTGAAGGTAGGCGAAAAATTGCATACGCATGAAGACGCTTCACGCTCGGTTAACTTTTACGTCATAAAAGAATATGTAATCTCAGTTATATCAAATGTTCAGTCAAAACTTTTATTTCTCTTAGCATTATCATATATTTATTCAGATTCAAAGCATTCAGAAAAAGCCAAATTCGAGAAGAAGCTACCTTCTTCCCGTTCGATTTCATACAACAAAACATTTAATCGTGCAACATGACTGTGATTATACTCTTCGTTCAGCTTAATTCGATCATAATATATTCCAGTTTTCAGAGTCTCTATGACGCATTTTTTAGTATTTCCCCTATCGCAATCGTATAAACCGCTGAAAACGCGATATCAATTGAGCTTCGCAGAAAGTTTCCAAGAGCAATTACGTTAACCCCTTCCCTACCCGGACTTTTTAATGTTATAGAAAGGAAAAAATAACTTTGATAACGGTGGTCTTTTTGAGGACATATATAGTAGAAGATCTCTCGAGGAGACAATTATGAAAAACTTTTAAGAAATTCTAATAGAGATTTTTTTATGAATGTAGAAAACCTCATTTTTTGTTGGATGCTCTCATCGAGCGTGAATTGTCCTGGAATGCCAAGCAAGCCTTTATTTGACATTAGTGCTTCCACAAAATAAACTGATTAAAAATACATATGAACTGTCGATGAAATCATACATGGTATGAATAACAAACATAGTTCAAGGACGACGATCTTGTGCCAGATTTTTCCTATTCAGATGATGTTCACGAATTTCTCATTTCGCTCCTCTATCAATGGAAATATGCCCACAAGCGATGATGTCTCTAAGATCATGACTTTCATCAAAATCCTACAGATTCATTTCGACTAATCCAACTTATTTGTTTACAATACTGAACGATGATTGCAAGTTCCTATCGATATTCCAGCAATGTAACTCACATTACAGATATCGAATGAATACAGGATATATTTATCCAACAAAGTAAAATACATTATATATTTGAAAACCATCGTTACTGGCCACTATACATAAAGAAGAAGAAGAAGGAGAAGGAGAAGAATGCTCAACTAGAAACAACGATTAAATAAACAAAATCAGTTCGATCCGGTTTATTTATGTCAAATGTAGGACAGATTGCATTATCATGTGTAATCGATCAATTTGCACCGAACATTCGATAATATCATAAATTTCATTGGTTAGATTCTGTAATTGAAGGAATGTCGTTATAATTTTCATGTAAACCAATGCGGCCTGTCCGTAATTGTCATCATATTTTTCACTAACATAAAGCCAAATTAGCTGGGCATATTCATCGTATGTATATCGAGCCATTTGTCTCGAATGCTCATTCATTTGACCAGCATCATATAAAGACTTACTGGTAAGTAACGACGAAGAAAAAAGCAAGACGACAAATAACAAGACTAATAATTTATTATCATCAGGCATATTATAACTGAATAATGAATACGTATATGAGATTTTCTCGTTAATATTATGCAAACCAGGATGATGGAAATAGATTCGTGTTTTCGTAGTTGTGCTGAGTAAATGTATGAACATCGGTAGAAGAACTTTCGTATTATTTTTCAAAAGAATTAGTCGATCATCGACTGGTAATTGTTGAAATTGAGACAAATGTTTGGAGAACGTGATTAAAGATGAAACAGGCATACAATATTGATTTAATCCATCGGTTACATCGTGATTAAGATCCAGACGAAATTCATCTGGAATCACTTCGCGTACGCTTTCAAGAAAGATTTCGCATATCAGATCGATTTGATTGTCGCATGAATAGGATGATGATGAAGAATAGATTGGTTCGTTACGACAGCTCTTGTAGACCTACGAATGAATAAGCCAATCAAGAAGAGATGAAATCTTTTTCGAACTCACTTTTTGGCTTTTTCGTTGTTCTTTTTCTTGTTGTTGTTGACATTTTTTCAATTTTTGACGTCGATTCTCTTCGACTAATGCACGATGTCGCTGATTCTGTTCTTCGGTTCGAATCCGTTCTTTAACCATGCCCATTTCAAAACATTTTCGTAGACGACATGCCGTACACTGCCGGCGTGATCGTTCATCGATTATACAATTACCTGACGCACGACAAACGAATTGATGCTAGAAGAAGCGACTTTACAATTCAAATTTTGTTTGAAATAAACAACTCACCAATGGTTTAACACCATTTCGTCGAAAGAATGCTTTGCACGATGAACACTAAAATCAAATCCATTGATATATGAAAATATCTGTCATGAATATTTACTGTCATGACGTCAAAGTTAATTCCGGATGATCTCGCTCCACAAATAGAGCAACGACCAAGTTGTCCATATTTTGCTTTATTGTTGAGTGCAATTGTTAGCGAATCGGAGAAGTCGCTGGCATCTTGAGAAATCGTGTCGTAATCATCCATATTCGAATGTATCGCTAGCAAGATAGAAATATGATGAATCTAAAATACGAACGAGAAAAGTTCTTTGCATAGGAACAAGTTAATAAGGTTAGCGAATGCTTGATAGAATGCGATTTAACATCTTGAAGAAAAAACACACACATTTATTTCAAGTGTTCGCTCGTATTTTCGTGAGAGAAAGAGAAAAATAAAGTACATGTGTTCTTTTAATCGATTTCGATGTGCCTACTCAGTTTCAACCATACATACCTGGTTAATGTCGAAATAGGAAATAGTGAAAAAGAAAAATTGAGAGAGTAGCAATAGCAAGGTGAAAGTTACAGGTATCAATGATGAATAAGTCATAGCTTTTGGTTAATACGAATTTATATAAACTACAAATATGTTCGAGTTCTATTTTCTAATGTTGACAAATGTGCCCATCTTTTCTAAGCCAAACCGGCCGTCTTTTTCTCGTTTTTCTCTCAACAAAAGCATAGAAAAGGGAAGAAAACTTCCCAAAGTATGCTATCGACGTCAGTCTCTCCGAGAGAAGAACTTAACGATAAAAAGAGAAAAAACATCCATCGTATTTCTTTTCTCCGCACAGAAAAAAAAACAGAACGTGAAACGAGTACCCACGATAGGGGTTACGCGTACAAATAACCTTCATTTCTCAAAGCACACTCTTTCAGCGCAATGCGCTTGGTTAGATAACTAATATCGTGAGATTTATAAACTAGTTTTAATTCATAACTTTTTTATTATTATTTCCTTTGTCAAATCTCGAATAATTACTGACATTGATATAAACACACAGAGAGAAATCGATAGATAGAGCGATGGCACGAAAACAAACACAAACGAAACATAAAAATGCTGTTAAAATAGTTTGGCAAGTTTTTTCAATTCCTTTTGTCGCCAAGCAGGTTTCGAAGCGTAATCTGTGTAAGTCATTTTGAAGCGTTGATTAAATTCGTCGTCGTTTAAATGAATCTAAGATAGAAAGAGAAAGAAAAAAAAACATGGTTCATGTTTAACATCGAACGATATTGATTGTTTTATCCAACAGAAATTCCAGCTATTTATATACATAACATAGTTATATTAGAGGTACATGCTGACTTTTACTATTCATAGTTTCACGTATGACGCACAGCCTATCTTCATCCATTTTAACTACTCGATTTGTTTTCATCACAGATGTAGACCAAAACAGTCTATTTTAATCGATGGTTGTTCAGCACATCTATGTGTTCTGGAGAATATGACTAGTGAATGGCAGTTTTGCTTTCTGTCTTTCTAAACATTGTTTCTGTTTTGGATTACTAACAACAATCGTGTCTTAAATAAAACTGACTCTATTTAAGGGTGTTGAACCAAAGAAACAACGTAATAAGTACGCCTCTATAATAAACTAATTAGCCTAGTGGTAGATAAGAGAACCTTCGGTTGTTATTCTTATTACTTCGCGCAGTTCAGGATTGACATCTTCAGGTAATTCATCCGCTGGCTTCAATAATAATTCATATGGATATTTTGTCACTGTTGAACGATTTAGTATGTTTTGTTTCTGAAACAAGATTCAAATGTTGTGAGTCATGAGTGCTGAGAAACGATTTGACTTCTTACCGGTTTCTCTCGAACTAATTCTGCATATATCTCCGACCGGTTGTCAGCGTGTAACATAGACTTTGTTGCTTCATACGATGATTTATTCTGAAGTAAACATGTGCTTTGATTTCTCTATCCGTAACAATTCAAATCAATTGGCTTTTACCGTCCAATAATTTCTGTCCCAAGGACCGAAGAAACCAATGAAATGTATAGGCTCATGCATTTGCTTTGTTTTTATTATTGGTGTATCAGGATCACGATGACTTGGATCAGTGCGCAAATAATCGTACGCGATACGTTCTGCATCTTTCATTTCGGTTTTATTCGAATCTAAATTGAAATGAACCCCAGTAAATGGGGAAAGTAAATGATTTTAATCTCTCACTCTTCCCAATCCACAAGAATATACTTGACCATGCATCGAGCAACATCACATCGTCTTCATCAAGATCAGCCTAAGAGATTTTATATGACGAAACGTGTTAAAATTCAAAGATGTCGGTGTAGCGAGTATTTCAATTGAAAGGAGCCTCGTCTGTACCTGTGTAAATTGAAGTATCTCGACAGCAGTTGTATGTCCACTAGCGTTGGATATTTCAAATAATCTTACAGGATGATCGGTCGCGTTCATGAGCAAGGATTGATGATCAGCTAGACGTTTTTCCGATGCATACGGTTCTTTACCATTTGGAAAATGATCCCAAAATTCTTCTTTTTCCTGCCCTTCGAATACCATAATCGGATCTCTGAAAAAGAAAAAGTCAAAATTGTTGTTTTTTTTTCAACTCAAATTCGTTCGAATATGTTTACTTCGATTTTGAAGTTGCGACAATTTTAGACATTTCCCGTTCGTCACCTGTTGATCCTTTGCCACACCAAATATAAACAGATTGCGGAGTGAATAGGACAAAACAATCATTTGAATTCAAAGCTGAGGCGCGTAAATCCACCTAAAGAAAACAATCGTGTTAAATCGAAAACACCAGCTTTTCTACTTCGAGTGAAAAGTCTGCTCGAGTTGTTTTTCTCGATTAATAAATAAGATTTAGAGAGAGAAAGATAGTTATATTTACTTGAACAGCTTTAGTATCGAATTTTGACAGGCCTCGGACTTGCAACAAATAAGTATCATCGTTTTCACTGGTATTTTCATCATGGTATTGTAAATTTCTAAAGCCACTGCGTTTGCCGTGCTAAAACTAGACATGTCAAACACATATATTCTTGAAGAAAACCTTCTACTTTAAAAATAATCATCCGTCCATGAAACATCGCCATAAAATGAAGTGGTTCTTTATCTTGAACAACACGTATAATAGTTCCTGTACCATGGATCTTCTTATCGAGTTCAACAGCACCCATCGCTGCAGCACCCTGTTCATCTTGACTGGAATGATGTCCTAACCAGAAATAGATCAAGGTGTACGAACGCTGTTGATCATGATACGTGTATTGAATGACGAATGAATCGCCTGAAAAGAAGATTCCATGCATCGATTCAGGATATGGAACCATTTTGAACTGCTCGATGCGAAAAATTTCCTTCTTTCCAGAACCGTCATCGGGCATTTGTGTTGCAGCTGCTAATTGTGGCTGAGAATGCATTGTCACTGCATCGAATTGTGACGACGCCATTTTGGCTAAATAGAAAAACGTCAACCGTTTGCTTTAATCTCACTTTCTATAGGTAGCTGATTCACATGCAGAGAGCACGAGCACTTTCCACCTACCTATGCAACTAAGATTCTGTGTAAGTAGGAGAAGGATTAAGAAAATCATGTGCGAATAGAAGATATTGAAAGTATCACGTATATATTTACCGATATGTCCTTTGGTATAAGTTTTGCCAAGACCTTTTTGAGCGTTAACATCCGTCCAGATTTTAAAGAGAGCAATGAACTCCATCGGTTCAGCGCCGTCGATAACTCGACAGACTTTCGTCGTTTTTGGATAGCCTTTCTTTTGCAGAAAACCCTGTAAAAAGAAGCAAAAAGTGACCGTTCGTGAGTTTTTATTCCTTCTTCACAACTGAACATCAATTCTCGCCCGACTTATGTTCATTCAAATGTTATAATATTAGTTGAGCTGTCTTAGAAATAATCGTTCTTTTCCAGATCAAAGCATTCACATTCAATAGAAACTGTTCAGACAGAATTTTCCAACTCACAAGAGCATTTCTCATTGCTTCTCGTCGTTCCTTCACATTAGATCGTCGGCCAACCCACACCCAAACACCATAGATACCATTATCAATAATATATGCATCCTAAATGATAAAAATTATTACTAAAACAACCTGTATTTGACATGATTTTCTGAACTAACTTCACTGTCAAGATCAGTTTTCAGTAATGGTCCCGCTTTTTTCTCCGTCACTTTCAAAGTTCCACTTTCATCGGAACATTTATACAATTTTATATGTGTACCATCCAATCGCTTGTCGTCATCGTTATCATCGCTGATATCATTTGTACTTAATTTGGTATTTTTATCTTTCAATAACAATCTCGTTTCGAATAATTTTAATTCATCTTTACTCATCTTCGTTTCTTCTCCATCTTCGATAATAACAATATTCGTTCTTCCACGTTCATCTCGCAATTGCTTAGCACGTTGCATCGCTTGTATACGTTCGTATTTATTTGATTTCGCTCCGTTCCATAGAAAGATCACTTCATTTAAATCTAATAAATATACATCACCACGAGACATATGCGACCAGTCAATAGTAGGCATTTCATAAAGTCGCACAGTATGACGACCTTTCAAGCGAAATAGACGTGGTTCATTGTTGGATTGATGTCGGTGAAAACCCGATGCGATGCCACCTTGTCGATAGGTAACACCACCACGAGATTTGAAATAGGATAGAAAACGTTCACTTTCGTTTCCTTGTACTTCACGATGTTGAACAGCATTGCCTGATAAATAGTCGTCTAAATCAACATACAGAGAAAAGTTTATTTATCGAAGAGACTAGTCGAATAATATCAAATTGAACTGATTGAATATGGAGAAACAAGTAAATGTCAAGTAATGTTTATAGTTCGTCTTGTTGTCTATGATTTTGAATTGAATTCAGATCTGCGACTAATCTGTTAAACATCTCAAGGACAAACATCAAAGTTAGACAAAAAAAAAAGATTATGTTCATGATGTTTCCTGTTAGAGATTTGATCTTGTTTTATGTTATAATAACGTGCGTTTTCAACGTTATTATAATAAATTGAAGGTCAACATTTTCTTTTTACAAATGATTTAACAAATAATCCACACATCCTTCAGAAATTTTCATTCGATCATCTCAATAGCACTCCAGGGGTTAATTATAACATTCTAAAATTTCCGTTAAAAAAAAATCCTTCGTCAAACATGAACTCTTTTAATATCTAAAGTAAATTTACTGAACGTAATGATCAGCATTGTTCAGAACCATCGTCTATATTTTCGTTCATACACTCGAGACATCAAATTCGAATAATAGTTACTTCTTTTGAAAAGAATAACATTGTCCTCAAATTGATATTCTTGAAGAAGAAGAAAAAACGCAAGAAATCCAATTCCATGTGCAACTTTTCCTTGATCGTCTAATATTTTTTTCATAATATTTCTTTCTACTTCCATATCGCGAAAGACAGCGTCTGCACATGTATGTATGCCGTATTTGCTTAACATTGAATCAATATATGACATGATTAGTGAAGAGAAAAAAAAAACGAGCAAGAGCACGGCGCAAAAGAATATTTTTCTAGTGAAGTTTTACTCTTTGAATCAACAAGCAAATCCTACCTAGTTCAACAGTTTTATATGCAGCAACACCGGCTTCATCTTGTGTGGCTTCTGAACCAATCCAGAAATGAATATGCTGAATCAAATTCGCTGGTGTTGTCGATGATGCACTCGTCGATTTTTTGATTTCTTCAGCATGATAGATAACATAGGCATCACCTTTGAAAAATATTCCATGAGATTCACGTGGAACAGCGACTAGTTTGAAATTCTTTTCAACGAAACAAAAATCGTAAGCTTTTGCTCTCTAAAAATGAACTTACCTCGACACGCCAGACACATAGGCAAGATTTGTTTTTGGGTATTGTAGCAAATGCTGAATCAATTTCCATTCCACCACCGCTGTCTGACTCACTCATACTTGCATCGATTGATGAATATACATGTAATCGAACAGTTTTAATCTGCAAATAAAAAAACATTTTCACGAAAGGAAAATAGAAAAATTCGGCCTCGTCTATATCTGTCTGTTATTCGATCTGAAGCGCTATTTGTTTGAACTCATGTCCATAGACACAATGGTAGTGGCGGACAGCAATAATAGCAATAAAAAAAACTGAGTCTATTACCATTACCATCGTCATTTCTTCTATTCTATTACCCTATGCTCTTGCACGTTCGTTCAATATTAGGACGAAGGAGAGAGAGAGAGGGAAGGAGAGGACCTACCTTTACTTCAGCTCTTTTTTCTTTCGCTTTTTCTCTTTCTGTCTCATGTTCTCTTTTAGCTTAGTCTGCTTGTCATGGTGTTAGTTCATATGACGTTATATTCTCTTCTCGTGTCGCTCAATTACAAGCGCACATAAGGTCCAAACAAAAACATCACATTCATGTGTATATAGATGTGTGTATATAGATGTGTGTATAAAGCACAGTCGTGTAAAGCTTGTCGGCGAGATTTAGTAACAATAAGAGACTGTATATACATATATCACACCTAGAGTTCTCGATGCGGTGTAATCAATAGCAGAAATGATTAGAAAGAAGGGGGAGTGAGAGAGAGAGAGAAAGAAGTTCTTTTTGTTTGAAATAATGCAACTGCTGCCAAGAAAATTTTCTCGAGTCGATTTTGATTGAAAAGAAAGAAACGTCGATGAAAAAGAACAACAATGAATCGTGAACAGCTGTTGACTTTTAAATTGACTGACATATTGAATGAAATTAATGCAAACATTGAACACGGAGAGAGAGAAATATGAAGGAATCTTCGAGTAAAGCAATGAGCGGCAACTCTTTAATCCAAAGACATCAACAGTTGAGTAGTCAAATTGAAGAGAAAAGTAAAAGTGTGTCACTCGGTTGGCTGGTTGGTTGGTCATTACCAGCATCATGTAAAATGAAAAAAAAAATTGATTCATTTTCATGATAGATGTCGATAATCAACCATCGGACACTCATCAGTGCAACAAGAAGAAATACAACGAATACTTTCATATTTACAAGACATGATATTTGCCACGATAGAACCACAAGAAAAACATCGTATTCACTAGAATCCATTCTCAATTACATTTCTAGAACTGTGAACTAATTATTTTATTGAAAATCAACGACAAATTAATACTAAATGAATGATTTCCAGGTAGTTATTTCTTTTGACCAACTTGATTGTTTTGATCGTTCGCGTCTTTCGTTGGTGGGTAGATGAAACCATATTGAAAATAAACCTTTTTAGGTTGAGCTGGTGGCGGTAGATGTTTTTTCATCGTTGATATAAATTTGAAAAACGTGTTCATAGACACCGGGTGTTCTTCTTTGGGATTATTCACCAGTGGGTACATTTTATCAGGCGCTGTTTGACAAGATTGATAAAATTGCAACAAAGTCTCTCCATTCATTCCTTCGCAAGCGTGTTTTAACTGATCGAGTTTGTTATCTATTAGGAACTCCGAAACATGAGTTTCATCCCAAGATACCGCTGAATCGTGTGTGAGATATTCTTTTGTTTGAATTGGAGGAGGTTCAGGCTGCTCAGGAGGTTTTGGAGGTTCAGGTACAGGCGTTGTTGTCGGATTTTTCGGTTGATCTTCATCACCAGTGCTTCCCAGCCCATTGCGCTTCAATTCATCAATCAACGATTCGTACGCTTTTTCAAACTCTTCAGCTTCCTTCTCCGCAAAATCGACATAAATCTTTGAACCAGCTAAGAATCCCAACCATCCATCAGCTTTGTATTTTGGTTCGACAATCAACGGAACAATACTACTCTTTCGATTGAATGCATATTCAGCTTCGGCCTTACAGTTCGTACTGTTCTTATAGTTAGTTGACATACAAATGAGAACGAACTGCGATTGCTCGATTGCCTCGGCCATCCGTTCGATAATCGATCCATGCATTTCGTCTCGATCTAACCAAACCTTATAACCATCGGTCTCTAGACGATCGTGAATTTTATGACAGAGAGGCTTTTGCGCCCAGCAATAGGATATCATGATATCGTTCTTAAAAGGCCGCTTGCCGTCATCTGCAGCATCCGGTTTTTTTCCCTCAGCGGTCTCCTCTTGTTTTTTTTCTTCACTTTTCTTTTTGAACTGTTCTTCTCCTTCTAATTTCCAGACGATTCCATGTGCTACTTTTGAGATATCTTTCTTCTCCGAATCACGTAATTGTTTGATATGATCAACAAATTCTTGGTCTTCAATCATAACTTTCTTTGCATCATTATTGAACGTCATCGCATAAGTTATCTGAAGTGGTAGTGGATTATCGTTTGTTGTCTTTGCATATTTGATAATCGGTGGTAGACCGTTTTGTTTAATAATTTCTTTTTTCACATCATCATTTTGTACCAAAACTAAAAAAAGAAGAATTACGATCAGAAGAGTTTTCTATGACTTTTACCTTTAAGTCCGTTTAGAATCTCGTCGACCTGTTCACTGTTTCCATCTTCAGTCGCATTGTTAAAATTTTGCAAAAATACACTTGTCACTTCTCCCGCTTTGTTCTCTTGAAGAAACTCCTCTTCAGTTATCAATAAAGATTTCAATGCAATCGCTTCACTCTGGACTTGAGTCGATTTTCCCGTTTTCGATAGATTATTTAGCACTTGTATCAATTCAGGTTTCTTATCCGAGGTATTCTTCACCATATTTGCTATGCGTTGGTCTGATCGAATAATTTCTGTTAGTAAACAGAGTGATATGTGTATCAAACTAACACGCACAGGTTCGATATTGGAGTCGACTGTTGATTTATTTAAAAGTATAGTTAGAATAATATCATAGATCACTTTTCGTTGTTCAAATGATAATGAACGAATGTTCGAGAGAATGAATTTAATTGGATACATTAGACATAACATCACCGGGATAGTCCATTCTGTAATATGTGGAAGAAATTCCGAATAGATTTCTTCGTAATATGCTAACATTCGATTAACAATTTCTAAACAGTGAAGTTTTTTCGAGCCGCATGTTAAGACGTAATTTGGACAGGTTACAAGAAGAAAATGTTGGGTTATACTTAGCTCGAGAGCATTCTTTTCACTCAATTGGTACATAGCTTCGGTGTAGAAACGACTGGAAACACTTTTGACAAGCACAGGCAGTAATTGTAGACAGCGAACTTTCTCGAATGCTTGAATTAACCAATCGAATGATTCCAAATTGGGATCTTCAGTACCACCAACACTGATGTAATAACCATACGAAGCGATTTCGTTTATACATTTTTCTGTGATATCAATCAACGCTGTTTGTTCTTTCAACCAGTTGTGACTATTAGATTGAGCTTGAGTTAATTTGAGAAGAAATTGTGCGCAAGCTGCGAACGTTTCTTTTTGATCATCATCTAATGAGCCATCGCTAAACCAAAATTGCAAAATCGCACCCAGTTCGCCGGCAAACTGCTCTGTGAAGAATAGCTCGTTTTGAAACTGCTCATCGGTTATTTTTGGCGGCGAATTGTTTGCATTGTAATTCTTACAAACATCTACGACGGTAGTCGTCTTATTCTTCACTCCTTCCAATAACGCTGAAAACTTGTCGCTATCCATGTCGAGATGTACGTGAGTGAAAGAGAAACGTAACTACTCATTAGCCAGATTATTTATATGCTACGCGTGATAAAGCATACCTTGATGTGTATTCATGGTCGTTTTCTTGTATTCGAAAACAACAAACGCATGTAAAGAATATGGTCGAAAACATCATTTTCAAATGCGGGAGTCGTGCTACTGTCAATTAAAAGGTAATATCAAATGCACTAATGTCTCATGACATTTTGGTATTTTGATCACTGACTGCAAAGATGCGCACACTAGTTTCAGGGAAATTATTCATCACCAATTACAATCATCACGAGAACAAATCATGTAGAACGAATATATTTTGTGGTTAAATTCATCGATCGTGAAAGTACACACAACTACATATCGGTAATATGGATGGTTAATTGATGTGAGTGCGCCATTGCTGCAGCAAACAACTAATTGTTTCAGAATATGATGCATAAAAAAAACTATTCATAATTTAACATGCTATGAAAATAAGGTGGACACAATGAAACAATCATCGAAATGCAAAATAAGGAAAGTATTCAAACGAGGAATTCTAACAAATCATCATGACTGAATGATTGAAATCTATCTAGTCTGATTCGTTTGTACACACAGTCGATGATATTTGAGAATCACACAATGAAACAATTGTTATCTCAAATACGACAATTTCGTCTTCGAAGACAATCTCAGCTTCTAGATCATCGAACGCAAGCAGAGTTCTGCTTATGTATAAACTCGTTTTCAGTTAAATATTCTCGAATTCACTCGAGATATACTTATTCATTGTTTGTCAATTTTCCTCGTCATTCACTCATTGCGTTTGCACAATACGTCTGAGAAGTACTAATCTTCCACTACACCGAAAATTTGTTACGTTCTTATCGCTATTTACTGGCTGATTTTGATTTATTGTCTAATATACGAATTTTCCTTTTTTTTTTGCATTAAAAAGAACACGAAAAACGAAAAAGAGAACAAAATAAAACAATTTGTCATTGAGAAAAAGAGCGACTGCACATCGTATATTAATTTGTCGTTACTCAAAACATCAAAACAAAAAAGAAAGAAAGAAGAAAATAAACCGAATATTAGATCAAACAAACAAGCACAGAGACACATTAAGATTTCATGATATTCAATACTGAAACATGTATGAAGAACATTATCAGAAAGAAAAATAAAGAGATTCATATTGCATCATAATTAGATCGAACGATATTCACTTTTGAAGAAAAAAAAAACAGCATCGCGAGAAATTCATTTCAACATGCACATCCGGTTTTTTCTTCACCCGGTAAAACGACCGGTGGTTGTCGTACAGGAAAGATGGATTTATCTAGAGAGTGAGAAAAAATAGCACAGGTTGAAGAATAATGAGATGAAGTCGTCTAACGTAATCAACATATGCTCTCGTATAACCTTTTTCAAAAAATATCATGCAGGTGTAGAAGAAATGCTGTTCTTCTTTGCGAATGAAAGCAAAAATGAAATGAAATATTCGCATCAATCCTCCACATGCTTCCGAAATAAATGAAACTTTATCAATCCGTTACTTACGCAATTTAGACTTTGTTTTAATGAAATGAATCTGAGCTAGAATGAGATTCAATTAGACTACATGCGAACGAAATTCATTTTCTATGTTTTTGCTATTCGTCATACTCGAACAAAAACTAGTCATAGGACTTGAATTGATAATTACCTATCGTTTTTTCCATTCTTATCATAACTTTTTCTAATAATGTTTCGATTGTTTCTTTAACATTTTGTGCTGTGAATGCACTTGTTTCAATGTATGGTAGAGAATATTTATCGGCTAATTCCTTAGCACGTGATTGTGAAACGACGCGAGCTTCTTCTCGGTCAGCTTTATTACCAACTAATATCACATCAGGATCTTCACAATAAGCATGACATTGTAATTGAGCAAGCCAATTGCGTACGTTGAGAAACGATTGTTCAGATGTTAAGTCAAACATTAGAATGAAGCCCATGGCATCACGGAAAAACGCAGTTGTTAAACTGCGAAAACTAAAACGAAAGTTTCTTCTTCGTTCGAAAGTTCATATTCAATTGAAAATAAGTTACCGTTCTTGTCCTGCCTAAATAGAAACAACAGAATGAAAATTCATGTCTTTTTCTTCGATGAAACTTACTGTATCCCAAAGTTGCAAATGAATTCGATATGGTTTGGCATTTGGAGATGTTCTTGGTTTGTAAACAACACGTTTTTCACGAAAATCGATTCCAACGGTCGAGATAAACTTCGGATTGAACTGTCCGTCGGTGTATTGATAGAGAAATGTCGTTTTTCCTAAAGCAGAGAAACAAACTCTTCTAAGAATTATATGTCAGTACAACTCACCGACACCAGAATCACCTAGAGCTAAAAACTTGATCAAATAATCATATTCAATCGACGGAGATATCATCGATTCGCCCATTGACATCCAATTTCTTCAATGCTGACAGATGCTTGATGAATAACGAGAATTTCTACAAAAAAAGAAATGCATAACAGATCTATTTCTTAACTTTTACACTCGATGATTGTTCGTTTTTAAGATTGACGTCACAGAACGGAGAAGGAAAGAGAAGGTAGGAAAAAGAATCGTCAGTCATACTCATTTTCACTATAAAGCAGCCGCAACTTTTTTTTTTATAAACGAATACGATCGACAGCAGATAGATATGGGTTACTTCGGCTTTCTTTTTTCCTTTCTCTTTTCTGCTGACTGCCTTGGTTTGACATTGTATGTATACGCAGAAAAATAGAATGTTGTTAGCAAGAAAGAAAAAAAAAAGAAGCAGAAGGCAAAGAAACGGTGCATTGAATAAATATAAGAGTGAATGATTCTCAAAGGGAAAAACGAATAAGGCAGTTTGCTTGTGCGAACAATAAATTATCATTTATCGTTATCTCATTTTTGTTTTTGTCATTTGACAAGAAATTATGAATGAAGCGGGCTTTTCTAGGCGTTAAAAAACTTGATCATCGGTCGTAGTTCGAAGGAATAAGAAGAAGAAGAAGAAGAAAGAACGATCAATAATTATTCAACGAGAAAATCAAATTTAATAGGAAAATATTGCATTTGATTAAAAGAAAAAAGGAATCTATTTTTAGGAAGAAAAAAAAACGAGAACAAAGGAAAAAGATTAATTAATAACTGATAAAAACATCCGCTAGAAAAAGTCAAGTATCCATCGGTTCACTTTCGCACGTCGGTACACTTAAATGTCCGTTTGACACGTATATATTCGAATGAGTCGAATCTAATTCTAAAGAGAAATGATCAGCGAAATAACAAGAGTTCGTTAATTACTTTTAAATTTGGATACGAGAAATCTCATGAGATCAGACATAGAAAGAATACCGACAATATGTTGAGCGTCATCTACTATAATCAATCGATGAACCTCAAATGAAGAAAAAGAATAAGAGATGAAGAAGTTCCAGTCCTATACAAAAGAATTTACTTCTCGAGTCACGAATTTATCCATCAATTCGAATAACTGATCGCCCATTTTACATGTCGCTAGTTGATGTGTATTCTGATCATGAATTACACCAAGTATATCGCAAAGTGGAACATCAAGATTGGCATAGGTACGTGTTGCAGCTAAATGCTAAATGAATCAACAGTAGATTGACGACAGCAAAATCGAACATTTTCACGTACCATTATATCGAATTTAGAATAGATATCACGTAAGCGTTTTTCATTATCAACGACAGGTAAGGCAGAAATACGAATCGTTTGAAATATGCGAAGAACTTCGATGAGTTTCGTTTGCAGATTAATCTAAACAAACGAAAGAAAGAAAGAAAGAAAGTTCCTTTGAGCAGTAGATGCATCCCACACTCGTGTGACTGTCAATCAACTTAAAAATGTTTTCATCTATTCGTGTTGATTGTATTAAGAATGGTTTTTCAAATAAATATGATGAACCTTTCTTTGACGACATTCCCTTGATGAATACAGAACATGTATGAATCACCAAGTTATTCTTAAACTCCTCAGAGAGTCGATCTTCTCTATTGTTTTCTCCTAATCCGTCAGTGACAAAAGGAAAAGTAAAATGTTTTTATTTTCCAACGAATATCAATGATAAATGGATTACGACGTCTTACCAACACTAGATTTTCGTAAGTGCCAAGTTTTAGCTCTTCCAATGTTTGATGAATGAACGGCGGTTGAGGTAAATCATATATCTTGCAAAGAGAAACAATCGCTTAGAATCCAATGAAATTGATCGAGAAAATTACATACGAATAGATAGAGAAATTTCAGGATGCGTTTATTTGTAATCAGAAACAAAAAATCGTGAGTAAGTGGATCAATAACAGGTATTCGATGAATTTTATGCTCAGTACTCGTTAATATGGCCGTGTACAAACTATGAATTCACATGAGAAGAAATTTCATGTAAAGTAAAAGTATTTACTTGTCCTCCGGACCGAGATGAATAATATTTAAACCCAATTGATCATCTGTCAGTCCACTTTTTCTATGTAAATCTTGTTTCCATTCTAAAATCGACGATGTTTCTAAAGTGTCGAGGCTATTCTAAAAAAAAGAACTTGATAAAAACGATCGAATATATTATTACATATGAAGTAATTCGATACTCATACAACTGTTAATGGTAAACTGAATTGATTGTCTAGCGTTATATTACATCATCAGATGATATAAAAGATCATTTTGCCTACACAGATTTATAGTCAATGAGCCGAATATAATTGTTACATGACTATTTCGAGTGCACACTTCGAACTGCTTTTCCGTATATATATATTCATTAATATTACCTTAAAGAGGCTATCTTCTTTATCTTCGATCTCTGACGCATGCGCTTCGGGTTCCTGGAGAAAAGCTTCTTACCCATTTTGTATCATAAGCAGCAATAAGCATATTAATAAAATCGCTTATGGTAATTAAACCAATATTTGATGATGTTGGTGCATGCCAGACAAGCGCAGCGCGAACGTTATTGAACACAAGCGCAAAAAAAGCTTTGCGAATTGATAAACGTGCATCAAGTAAAAGAACTTTTCCACTTTTCGGCATACAATCATAGCATGTATGCGTCATAAAGAACGATTGATAGATTTCGCCCGAATCTAATTAGGATGTGTTTGTTTGCATTATCACGACTGATGTTAAAAAACATTTTTCTCTTTCTATTCAACTTACTAATTCGTTGATAACTATCACGACGTGCTCGTTTCGTGCGAAGTTCCTATTTCATAGAAAAATCATGCCTGATTTCATTTGACTATCTGTAACAATCATACTTGTAAAACTGCAGGTTCAATAACAACACAGTTATCCGACATAGTGTTCCAAAATTCGAGGTCACACCTTCGAAAAAAAAATGATAGATCAAAATAAAATATTTTCAAGTTTCTCATCATATGATTATAACGCGCCGAATACAAAAATAACTCGCTGAATATATCGATTCGGTCAATACACTCACATAGTTCGTTTGATAATGTTATATGCGTAGTCATTTTTGATGGCTCTGCGTAGCACGTTTTTCTCTCAAAATACAAAACCTATTTATAGTGTCATTTCTTTTTCTCTTATTATCTCTGTGTAAACAGTTAGTTTTCTACTCGACTATTTTCTTCGACGCAATTCGTTTAATAACGGAACACATTTAAAAATGTAAGATTATACTGTTCTACGTTATTTAAATAAACAATATATATATATATCTGTCTTACCATATAGATTTGAAAAGAAACAAGAGAATTTAATAAATTATACGATGATGTCGATAAACGGTCGATGAGAAAAGAAATTCATCTATACGTGAAAAGTTAGTTTACACACGATAGCTGCTACAACGACGAGCGCAAGAGAACTGATTGATTCTAGTTCATCACAACGAATAGGAAATGACATCCTATCCTCTAAAATACATTCTGCGGCGCTGCTGTCGCCGTGTATCAACGAAACAGTCATGGCGCTATCATATGTCTCTTTACATGCACACCATTCATTAGGAAAAGGAAATCAAGCGACTGATAGAGAGTATAATTAATACGTTTATTTCATCGACATCGTTCGTAAATATAATGATTAGGTTGACATCTCCAGTCGAGCAACTCAGTAGAACACCGTGAAGAAATCTTCTATAATCGGAAGTTTTACTCAAGATCATGATGTCGAAAAAGAGATTAGAGCCTATGATTAACATGCCAATCTGGGCGGATTGTTGGTGTTGTATAGAAGTGTAATTAATTCATCGGTTTTGTCAACAGAATTGAATATGATTGCTTGATTTCAAACAGTTAAATGATCTTCTTTCGTAGCTCAAGGTTAGCAAGACTCATGGATATGTTGTTCCAACGGTGTAGACATGCTGGTAGATAGATACAAACAAACAAACAACTATCTCTTATTGATAGTTATAATTCAACTTGTAGTGTATAACCTATGACAATATCATCGGTTCGCACCAATACAAATTTCAATTTTTTGTTCAATACTGTACTTTTCATCAACGAGTTGATTTATTTCTTCTCTTCGCAAATAAAACTACTCGACGAGTAAGCGTCTCGTTAAACTTTGATTCAATTGTAACGAATGAAAAGCTCGATTTTTACCTCTAAAAAGTGTTCTTTTGCGCTACTGTTGTTGTTCTTTCGTGCAACTTCCGTAGCGCTCTCACCTTTTCGTTGACATTGACACTTATACCAAGTGATTTTGAAAGACTTAATTTAATGAGTAACTAGCGCAGAATAACAACAACATCTACCGACATGTCTACTCCACCTTCCAATATGTTATCTCGATCTTCATCATCGTCGAAATCCATAGATAATGATCATCTTGATATTTCCACTCTAGCTACTCAAATAGAACATCTCGAAAGAAGACTAACTCCTATTATTGGAAATCCTTCTCAAGATTCTGATGTGAAAAAGAGACCAAAGCCTAGTGAGAAAAAGACACCGAACAGGATTGACATATCAATGTATGTGTGTATTCAACTAATTTAGGTGGATCGTTGACGATGCGTAAAGGTGCGATCAATTTGCCTATCTCATCGACACAACCAGCTGTAGATCTGACAAGGTAGACAAGAAGATGTATAATTATATATATGAATGTTGTGTTGTAGTGAGGAAACACGTGCTAAATATCAAGAAATAGTGCAGAATTCTGGTTTATTTTATATTAACGGAGAGGTATCTTCATCATATTTGTATTTTATTATATTTTTATCGATGGTACATCTGTTTTTCTAGAGACAACTTATCGAACAGAAGGACATAGTGAAAATCGGTCTACTTGGCGTGGGCTCGTGTGGTGAAGTGTTCAAAATGGAACACAAACCTAGTAAAATGACTTTAGCCATGAAAGTAACGATCTCATCGATTGCCTTTTCACAATCAATTCCCAATCGAATAATTTTAGGTCATGTCTCGAACAGTATCTGATGAGGATAATAAACGTATCATAATGGATTTAGACGTTCTGGACAAAAGTCATAATTTTCCGCATATCGTCCGCTGTATTGGTTATTTCATTCGACAAGTAAATGAGAGAATTTTTCAAAGATAGATGTGTTCATCGTATGATTAATTCAACAATTTAGACGGAAGTTTGGATAGGTATGGAATTAATGGCATGTTGTTTCGATAAACTTCTAAAACTAATTAAACAGCCTATACCTGAATCTATCCTTGGCAAGCTAACATATTCAGTAAGTTTTCTCACGTATCTCTATCACGTATATTCGTATACCTCATCCTAGACTGTAACTGCTCTCAACTATCTCAAAGAAAAACAGGGTGTCATGCATCGAGGTTGGTGCTTGTTTTGATCTAGAACTTCACTTCGATTGAATTATGTTTACTAGATGTCAAACCATCAAACATACTGATCGACGAAAATGGAAATATAAAACTATGCGATTTTGGTATATCTGGAGTACTTGTCGAATCAAAAGCAAAATCGAGAAAAGCTGGTTGTGCCGCGTACATGGCACCGGAACGGATCGGTCCATCCGTGGCAGATAAGCCTAATTATGACATACGGGCAGATATATGGAGTTTGGGAATTGCATTGGTGAGCTTCCATGAATAGAAAGAATTAATTTGCCTAACTAAACAAGATGTTTTCTCTTGTAAATCGCAGATTGAATTGGCAACGAATGCACATCCGTATGCAAATTGTCAAACAGATTTTGATGTAATGTCCCGTATTGTGACCGAAGAACCACCTCAATTACCTGCTGATCTCTCCTTCTCTGATGACTTTCGATCATTTGTAAATAATTGGTAAATATTGTCTACTTTTCTTCAACAGTTTATCTAACTTTGTGTCATTGCGTAGTTTAATCAAAGATTACCAACAACGTCCAAAATATGGTCCATTAATGTCTCATCCATTTTTCGTTCAATCAACTGAACAGCCGGTTGATGTTGCTGAATGGTATCGAGTAGTAATCGCTAAAGCACGTCAAAAGCGCGCACAATAATGCCGGTGACATCTCTGAACATTCCATTTTCTTTTTTTTCCTCTATTTTTTATCAAATATTTTGAATAAAAGGTGATGACTTCGATATGAATATTTATTTTTAGAAAAAAGAAATGTTAGTTTCTCCTTTTTCAACTCAATTGCATGACTCGGAAGTAATTGCAATCTTACCAAAGTGCTGCTTTTTTCATCCGTGAGTATATTACACACACTTAAATAAACGACTTTTCAAACAAAAGAAAAACTAGAAATGAATTTTAAACATCTGATTTTCCAATGACTTGAACTCACCCATGTGCCCTTCAATGTCCCGAGAAAGCGGCTGTTTCCTGGCATACGGCGACAAGTTCCTAATCAAACATTGAATCATACAAAAACAATGTTTAACCAGCTAACATTTAGTAAACTTTAATGACAATCAGAGGAAATATTCAAAATTCCACTGAAAACATTTGATATCTCTGTTTACTTTTCGTCTGTTGATAAGATAGACTTTGTTCTTTCATCTATGCCAATGAATTCTTTTCTCGTAGAGACTCGTTCTGAAAATGCTCGATGTTTTATCGAGACTCTCTCGTCAACGTTTTCAAGTGAATTAGTTGTTCGCGTAAGTATTACTGTAAGAATTTCTGCTTTTGTCACTTTTCGCACAAAATCATTTGTTTTCAAGTGGAAAAAACAAAGAGTCGGGCACGATTCAACGATTAAAATTTGTTAAAAACTTATCTTTGCCTTTCCATCAAATGGAAAGCAAGACTACTTGTTGCTTTGTTTTTTCCCCAATTGATTTCCATTATTAGAAAGAGAAATTCTCGAAGTGCCGTACTTGTTCATTATCCGAACAGTGAGTAAAAGAAAAGAAAATGATTTTCTTCGTTGCTTTCTTTTATAGAAATACTTCAAAAGAAAAAAATAGCGTTCTATTATGGTTGTTTCTTGTAACGACGAGGATCAACAGTAACAACAACAATAATAACAGCAACTGTAGCTGTAGCAGCCATCGTCGTTGGACATGAGTGAAAGCAGTTGACGACGCAAACGCATATACACGCTCACAGGTAACACGACAACAATGAAAAAGCAAAACAAGAATGAAACAGGCAGGCAGACAACGCGAAAAAGAGAGGGAGAGAGGGAAAGAGACAAAGTAAAAAATTCTTTACACCTTCACTAAGGTTTCTTTTTGTCATTCACTCATTCTCTTATTTTATTCAGTTGTGCGTTTGTGAGAGTTGTGTGTCGAGCAAAGACAAATAGTATCCAATACATACGCAGGTATTCCAATCTTAAATACATAAATAAAACATTCCAGGTTTCTGCTCGAAGAATTATTAGAAGGAAAATATTGAAAGACACAAAGACAGTTTCTATTGCTTATTTTCTTTTTTTTCTGCTTAATAGGCAATTAATTCTTCGGTGCTTCGAACATGGATTATATGGGTTCAACATCCACGGCTCAATATACTCGTATGGGTCGTCAGCCACAAACCAGTCGAGACTTACCATCAATTGGCACATTTGACTATCGAACATCGTCAGCTCCACCTTATTCTGGTTTATTAACTCGATCACTATCGCTTCCATGGCGTCCGTCAACATTTTATCGATCAGCTCGCATCGAAACAACTCAACCATTGAACACTTCAACAGCACAACCATTCAGCCCATCAAATTATCTGAATAATATTGATAGTGTCAAAGTACCACCGATATTCCCATCAGCTCGACAAGCACTTTATACTCGTTACACGCCGAAAGATTGGTACAATGCTCAGCAAACAAACTACGTGGCATCAGATAAGATCCGTTCGGCAGCTGAACGTTTACGTTCCGATGCTATACGTTTAGCACGCGAAAAAGACGAGCAAGTATTTAAAAACAATCTGGAATCATCAAAACGTCTAGGCGAACGTATCAATGATATTGAATATTGGAAGAATGAATTAGAGAAGACGAAAGATAAAGTTAAACGTAAGATAGATGATGTTGAATCCAAACGACGTGAAGTCGAAAGACAATTAGCTGAAACGGAAAAACCACTACGTATAGCACAAGAGAACTTATACGAACGTGAAAAACGACAAGGTTAACATTTTCTCGATAAGAATTCAGAAGAATATCTACGGTTTAATTTGTAGGTATTGATCTTGTTCACGATGGCGTTGAACGTGAACTTATTCGAGTAAGTAATTCAGACGATTATGATCGAAAAAAAAGACACGAAGTCATATTCATTAAGGAAATCGATACAATTAAATTAAATCAACAAAAACTTCGACAAATTCTTGAACGTTTGAATACTCAAAACGCGTAATTCATTGTTTTTGTCGGCAATGTCACTTAAACTAATGTATTCAATTTCTATTTTCAGACTCAATCGTGCTGCATTACATGAATTAGAACGTGATGCAAATGACAAATTCCGTGCACGTGTCATTGATTCTGCTGCTCATAATATTAAAACTACATCGCGTGGCATTAACTTTTATCATGGTATCGAAGGTGTTGATAATACGTAAGTGATGGATGTTGAGAGATGGCATTTTCAAGAAATCTACTGTCTTGTAGCGTCTCCGTACCTGAAACATGGAGCCGCTATTCGGAAGAAAACATTCGCCGCGCACTTAGCGAATTGTCTCAATCGGATGAACTACTCAATGCAAGTAATCAACTGATGGCGCAAAGTAATAATGACATGTGGTCACAATGGAATCAAGTTAATGTTTCGTTGGAAAATCGGGTACAAGAAGAGCAAATTGCAAAAAATAAGATTCAAGCTCATCTTGAAAAGGTCTGTGCGATAAATTTACCCCTCCGGGTTTTTTCATCATGAATGTCTTTCTGAATAGATTCTTCAAGAAATCTTCGATGTCGAGCAGAATATCGAATTCTTGAAGAAGACTATTGCAGACAAAGAGGCTTTCTTACAAGTTGCTCAAACTCGTCTAGAAACACGTACCCGACGACCAAACGTTGAAGCCTGTCGTGATCCTGCTATGAATAGGTAAGTTCTGTTCTGTCCAAACTCCCCAACTAAATCAGCCATTCTATTGCAGACTAATCCAAGAGATTCACGATTTACATGCTGCTGTGACTGATCTTCACGGCAAATTACGCCAAGAAGAAAACGCTGTACAACACTTATTACGTACCAAATCAACATTAGAACAAGACTTAGCTATTAAAAACAATTCATTATTTATTGATTATGATAAAGTTATGGGTATTCGTCGAACATTTACTATGGCTGCACCAGAAAAGAGTTCAACCACATCTGTAACATTTTCTCATCCTCGTGGCTTGATTACTGCCTGAAAAATAGTAAGATGAGAAGCATTGGTGTTCTTAATAACAATGACTTTGGTTTGCTTTTTAGTGAAATGTTTATTAGTGTCTTTCACATTGCTGACTCCATCTGTTTTCTTCACAACAGAGACATTTTATAACTATTATTATAATATTTTTATTTTTCTTCAACTTTTATTCTGTATTTTTCTCTCTTCTTATAGGATTTCACATATATATGCCTTTCTTCTTCTTTTTCTTTCTTGTATACACATACTCATTGACAAGAATTTTATTTTTATTTCTGTAGTGAAAGAAAAGAACGACAACAATATCCGAGAGATTCATTTCTGGAAGATGCAAACGATCGACTTCATTCTCATTTCGATCTGATAATCAATGAATTATCGAACGAAAGGGAAAAACGCTAGGTGACTATGTCGTGCATGTCTGTCTCCGTTGACACTTGATCAGCAAGTGGTCGTTTCCAATATTCTATACTTGCTCTAATTGTCTCAAGCAGTTAGTTGCCTCACCATCACGTCATCAGAGTACTGATTGCGATCAACATCGACACATCTATACATTCAGGTGCTACTCACACTAAGGCATACCTTAATTGAAGAGCACTCCTCCTTTGCAATGTTATTCGACAGTTGCATGAGACGAAAATCATCGTATACTAATCATACTAATTGATCATTAGTTTTGTTTCGTCATAGACAGATGAACTAAGAAATAAACGAGTCAATTGACTTTCGTACGAGTTTTATTTCTATATACTGTTTTCCGAACACAAAAGAAAAATGTATGTTATGTATGTATTAGTGGATAATAGAGCAGAGAGAGTGAGAGGAAAAAAAACAAAAAATGAAGGGTATATGTTCATATTAACATGCAACAGATTTTTGACGCTTGTTGTTGTTGATTCGTTCATCAGTTGATGCTAAAAGATAAATCGAATTTAAAGGATCTGACGAAATGAAATTTTTCAGTAACATACAATGCGATGATGATGATAGAGGTCTTTTGCTTTTTATTGTCACTTTCATTGAGAGAATGTTTTCAATTGAATGTTTGATAAGTGAAGATGATGAAGTATTTGGTTTGCTTTCGATTGATGAAATCGAACTATTGTCGTCATCGTCGTCGTCATCATCATCATCGGATGCATCATTTTCATCAGAAGAAGGATTCGTCGGCACTGCACTTGGTGGTGGTTGATGTTGAAAGAAAAACTGACTTTGCTGATGGAATGAAAAATATCGAGATGATGAATAGAAGTTTGTTGGAAGATGTTCGGGACTTGTTGATGATGATGATTGGTAATTTCTGTGATTTCCAGTGATAAAACAAATATCAAATGACAAAAAAGTTGAACTTACCGAACTGATGATGCTTCCTCGTTCTCGTGCGTTTTGTTTGATGACGGTGATATATTGGCATTCTATTCAATAGAGAAATTCATCGAATACTCGTGTTCTTCTTGCGAGAATAATTACAAACCTGACATTTATTGACGTCCATCCGGTTACTGTATCCTTTCTATAAAAACAGAAGAATCTCTCAATAACTCCCTCATGTTCTCAATCGAAGTTTTACTTTTGAGTGTCGACCATTGGTTCCATTGATTGATCCAGGTCGAATGGAACCCGTTTCATAGAATCGTGTTAAAATCTTCGAAACACATCCATGGGAAACAAGTAGTTTCCGTGAAATATCACACGGCCGAATTCCAACTAATGCCAGCTCGACAATCTGTCGACGAACATGATCAGGTAACGGACGACCATTGACAAAAACACCACCAAGTTGATTAACTCCTGCTTGACCTAGATCGTCGTAATACTTTAACGACTGCAAGGATGATGTAAGATTCTATTTGTCTTACCTACGCCCGGTACATATAATTTGCTTTTCATCTTTTTTAGTTGCGATGCTTTTCAATGATGATGTCACTTGATTTGATCGATGAAATCGAGAAGTATTCTCCTACTGTGTGTTGGTCTGTGATTTCTTTGACACTCGAGAAAAAAAGAGAGATGGAGAAGAAGAAAAGGAGAAAGAAATGTTTTCATTGGCTGTCGCAATATTTTTTCATTGGATGATGAGGAAATCACGGAGAGAAAAGGAAAGAATGAGTGGGAAACGAGATGGATAGTTGGAACTCACACGACACGCTCTTCTCACACACTGAAAGTGCAAAAGTGAAATATTATTCTAACAAATCAAAAAGAAACTTAGGAATACATCAAGGTGTTGAACCATCCTTTAACAATCGTTCTTCCCATAAAGTTTGATTTAGCAATGAGTTGCACAAATCGAACTTGAAAAAAGTTTTGCCAAACGAGATCACTGTATGAAGTAGACTTTGCTTCTGATCTTAAAATAGCAACCAATCAGAGTTTCTGCTGTCCACGGTTTGTGGTTACACCATCGCGCCAGCTGTCCGATCGGTCGAGATTGTACTTCGTTTTCTTTAATAGTCGTTTTCTCTCTCCCTCTTCCTCCTGTAAGTATAAGTGTGTGAAATGAAATATTGCTCTTCGTGTCGGTTCACTGGCGCAACAATCAGCACCAGCCGCATATGTTTCTTCAAACGCCGTCTCACTCTGTTGACCACTACTGTTACTTTTTGTCTTTGTTGTATTGAAGAAGAAGAAAAATGAAAGACGAAAGAGACTACCGATAATGATTTGTCATTGTTGAGACTGTCACTGCTGATCGACCTATGTCATGAAATGACTCTCGCTAGTTTTTCTTAATGATTCAAACATGTTATCACGAAAAGATTACGCCCAGAAACTGACAAATGGAGGATATCGACTAGAATGACTTTGAAATATATATATATATATATATATACCATCACCTGTATAGAACATGACTATATCAAAAAATAGACAAAAAAGAGCGTGTGTCGGAAATTGAGCTGAGCAAAGTTGAAGCATAGATAGCGTGTGCCGGAAATCGGGTTGACTGTTGCCGTGCAATACACATGAAAACTCATTTCATGATCATCATCAGTCCCGATTAGACACTTAAGTAGAAGGAAAACGAAAGTCAATGATGGTTGTGCTTGATTGCTTTCTACTGTGCTTGTTTGATCGTCCACAACGAGCAGCATCTTTTCTGAAAGAATAAATGAGAGAAAAACAGGGCGGTTCTCACTCATTAATTCAATCATCATGACACCTATACTTTGCCCGTAACGTACCATTAACCACCTTTATTTTCTTGTCATAGCCGCGTGCATGTGAGCGACGAACAATAAGTAATAAAACGAACATTTTTGAGCAAACATTATTTTATTATTTTTTGTATAAAAACAACACAGAACAAAAAAAATTAATATCTATTCATAACCATATCATCTACCATTGGAGTTGTCCGAGTAACTATTGTATACGGTCTTGACATGCCTGAATCGAGTGGTCTAGATACAACATCAGAATGAATAGGATTATCCATTGATTTGATTGCATCTACGTCTGTATTAAGTATTGGATCGTATTTCGGTTGAAATTGTTGTATCACATAAACCTAGAAAAAGAAGATCTTCAAGAAGGAATTCAAACGAGCGATAATGTTTTTACTAGATCGGTTTTGTATAAAGGCAATGTTCGTGGCGGACTACATATGACAACGCGTTTGTTTGATTGAACAATTGGTTCAGTTATCGAACTATCTCGTAGACGATAGAGACCAAGACATAGCCAATCACGATGCATTAATAAATTAACAAATAGATCTCCGTAAGTTGGACTCTAAAGGATAACATCTAACAAAAGTCATCTTTTTTATATTGGTAGGCAAACCTCGTCCCAGAATGAATTCATCACAACTACAGAATTGGATTTGGCATCTTTAGAATCTTCGGTAATAAGATATTCTACTGGCAATAGAACTACACGCGGCCGTCTTCGATTGTTGAGTACTTCTTTTGAACTTGAACCTTGTGTCATACCCGCACCTTCTGCTAAGATTTTTTCTAGTTCTGGCGTTGCACCACCCGTAATCAGTGCTATAAAAGAATAAGCATACTTGCATGTAGAATCAAAACAATATCCATGAAGTTAACCTCGTAGAATAGTCAAAGCATTCTCATTGAAATACGTTGCACTCATCAATGAATCTAGAACACTTATGGCAAATGAAGTTCCACATGCAAATGGTTGTGTCATATAGAGATCAATGTTTGGATCATCGTCGTCATCTTGGTCAAGAAAAACAACATTTGTATCGTTTTCTAAAAGGTAAATCATCGATTTGAAAACACAAAATATTCGTTTTTTTTACTCAGTTCAGTAATTAATGGAATTGATGTTCCAAAACGTCGATCAGATGTTGTACATTCTGTATCGAAACTCATCGCTTTTATATTCAATGAACAAAGTATAGCTGCTTTATCTGTTAAATATCGATCCTGGCGTTGATCTTGATGTGATGCTGATGAGGATAAAATGACACACATATCACATAAATGAATATTAACTGCCCGTAATGTTGCACGATCGTTTGGTGAACCCTGTGAAGAGATGAAAAGTAAGTTTACACAAGTCAAGGAGCAGCTCAAGATCAATTATCAATAACATACATCAACTATATACACTTTGGGAAAATTGCATATGTGTCTCCATTCTTTTTTGAGAAAAGTACTATTTCCAATAAATACAATTGGTTTAAGTTCATTGTCATCGAAATTTGATGCACGTAGTGGCATGACGAAACTGCGTAGGCCAATGACTGGTGATGATTCTTCAGCAAAAACACAACAGATAACATGATGAGTCAATTCACATTTGGCTCGAATGTCCTAAACGTGATTTTTCGTCATAGAATTTGAGAAGAACGAAGAGAGTTTTCTCTTACAATCGTTTGTTGGTCTAATGTTTGTGTTGGACACCAGTAAAACATGCCAGTGGTATCAAAACAGAATGATTTTAGCATTTGAGGAGTTGGTGGAAGAGGATGTTGACTAAAAAACAATCAGATTTAGTAATTAGGTTATTGTTTGATGATCAAAGTAATTAGCATACATTATCGAACTTTCCGATCGAGGCCGTGACATTTCACGTCCTATACATAAACATTTAGATTAAAAGAAAACCAGAAATGAGTTCCTTTGGCATCTTACGAGACTTGTTACTATTCGATGAATCTATTCGACATTGAATAAAGAACATCAAGATTAGAAATCGAAGCAAGCAAGCAAGCAAGCAAAGTAAATACCTTCGATACGATAGTGAACACATTTATGAATAGCTTCCGGTTTCTCTTTATGATGACAATGATGACAGTAGTATCGAGCTCTATGCAAACAAAATCGAGTAACTGGTTGATTTGTCATATGAGATGGTGACGATGATGAAGACAGTTACCTTGATGCTTCTTCTGAACTTCCGGCTAGAAAGAATCCTCGTGTTCGCTTGGCAATCCGGTAATACTTCGATGTTCGATCAGGATTGATTGCTAAGCGTCGTTGTCCATTCTCCTCGCAAACTTCAATCGCGAATAGAAGAATATCAAGTTCAACGAGGCAAAATCTACACAAAATTAAACGGATGTTTTCATTCAAACCAAATTTTTTTCTTTACCTAGCAGCTTCACTAAAATTCTTCAAATCATGTACAAAATAATTCGATAACGTCTCCGTGTACATCTCCAACGATGCACCGCGAAGATATTGTTGTAACCAAACCGACCGATCAGGTGCACCCTGGATTGTAAGAACAAAAAGAAAGCAGATGACTTCTTCCTTTCCCCTTATGCTAAATAGTACAAAGGCACACTGACCTTTTCCGTTAATTTTCCAGCAACCTAGAAGAAACACGTGTCCTCCGTGGTTATCGATTATTTCTTGTTTCGAATGTGTCGCTTGGCTTACCTCGGTATCTGAACGCATAGCAAAAATATTGGCAATCATCGTTGAAAAGCCTGGATTCAGACAACTTTCGGCAATTAAACCTAGTTTCAACTCTGAAGGAAGAAATTATCGATAGATAAACGTAAACATTCTTCTCTTTTGATTATCTTACCAGCAATACAAACAGCTTCATCTGTGTTATTATTCCATGCTGGAATATTCATTAAGTGCATCTAGATAAATGAGATAATAATAATCAATAGCTCGCAATGTTGTCAAATACTTTGTTATGATATTGTAAAAGTTGGACGATAATTTTCGTTTCCGAATGGTAATTTTTTATACTAATGACACGCATAATGTTGCTAGCATCTTCGCCATCAGGATCAATAGCGTCTTTATTCGCTAAGATTAACACTGCTTCTGTTCTTTTTAACTAAAACGAATGAACAATTGCTTTGCATATCGCTTTCGAATCGCTTGAATTTACTTTAACTCGATCTAAATCGACCGGGTCCATGACGGTAGCATCGAAGTACATCACACGTGTAAAATGTCGTTTTAATAGAGCTTGAAATTCGAAATCAACTGAATGTTTTCTAGATAAAATCAAAGATGAGATCTTTTAAACAAACTCTTTTACATGTCTGCATACTTATCAACAATAAGAACATCAGCATCATAGAAACTATCTGAACTAACTCGATCTTCGTGTAGAAAATCTTTAAGAAAATTCTCCATCGATGTAAATGTAATGTGACCACAGACAAGGACAAATCTAAACATGAGATCGTCCGTTGTTGATATTATATCGAGAAGGAACGCGAAATGCGAATTCAAAATAGCCTTCCTACTTTTTGCCATTTTCTAATCGGTATTGTCCTGCATATTTCTTTTTATTTGATAACATTTCGGCTAGTTCGGGAATCGCTCGAGCAAAAAGTGCGAGACCGCCTGTTATGAAGAAGATTATAAAACATTGTCCAACTGTCTATAGAAAATAAACACATGATTATAGGTGATTTGTTGAAGGTATATCTAGAAAGGAAATGACAAAGACGTATACGATCACAGTCACACACACTCAAGCGGTCATGTTGTACTAACTACTACGAACTGTTCTTAGATGGTAGTCGCCGTAGCCAACTGTGCTAAAATGAGAAGAAGAAAAACAAATCAACGATGTAGTTTACATATTGAACAAGAAATTTCGAAAATTTTCGTTATCTTTTCCATTATCAATAGAATAATGTCGTGTTCTAATACAAACAGTGAGTACGGGAGTAATTTTCCTAATCTGTACATATGGTGCAATGTTTTTCTTTGCATTCTACATCATTTGTTCGCTGCATACAAGCAGTTAATAGATAGGTTGTATAATAGGATTAATGGAGAAAGAGATTTTTCAATGAGAAAATCAATCGAATAATCAACTGAAAGTAAAGAGGCTCTTATCGAGAGAGAGACATTTTGTATGGGAGCACAAGTAAAAAGACACATCGTTTTCTGGTATCTGTGTCTTAATGAATGATTTGTTCTTTGCGGGAAAAGAAAAGAACCATTCTAATCTACTTATTATTGAAGCAGAAAATTTTGAATCTCTTAAGAAAAAAGAAATCAGATACATAGAACAAGCACCGAAGTGGAAAATCATCGATTCTTCTTTCTGTATCTATTCATCTTTCACAATATTTAATCAAGTCATTCTTAGTCGAATTACCTCATTGTGACGATAAGAAAGTACACACATTGAAAATAAGTGATTGGTTGTGAATTTGAGTAATTTTGAAAGAAATCGCCCGAATTCTCGACCTATACATACATATGTACAAAATGTATTCGCAGAAAGTCTTCTTTGCTTTGATTATTAAAACAACAACAATGATATTATTACCAGATGGACAAATCCGGCTGCTGATAACCAAACCGTAAACAGAAGACATAACATACGTGTCAAACGAATTGAATTACTACTGCGAAGTATATGTAAAAATTGAAGAATATCTGGAATATTCAGAATTCGTGCGATACGAAAAAATCGCATTCCTAAAGAAGAGAAAGACAGTCGACATCTCCGATAGCATATCGAATGTTACCTACCAATCCAATTACGTCCCAAAACAATCGCAGTAAATGATGGTGGAATGGTGAAAAAGTCGACCCATGAATGAATATCCAAACACCAAAAGCGAAGTTTATCTTGTGCAGCAACAAACTAAACATGATTCATCGAAATCTTTCTCAATATTCACTTATCACTCGATTCGAATCTTACTCGAAGGAAAAAATAGAAAAGAAAGAACACATTGAAAGCCAAATCAATCTGTTGAGTTGGACTTTGCGACCAGAGTTGACAAGATTCGATCGGTCTTTGAGATGGATATGAATTAAATAAAATAAACATTCTCAAAAAGATTAATCTTTTACTTACTGCGTACTAACATCATAGAAATAAATCACCAGCGATGCTAGACTTAGCACGACAACAGCAATTACCTATAAAACATTAACATGATAAATGAATTATACACTTTAGTTTTTTTGTTTTCGAGGTCATACGAGAATTTTTCCTGGTGTTTGTTGTCCTGATATTAATTTAGCTGCATATTCTTTGATGATTGTTGCCCAATTACGTTCGTGCATGGGATCGAATGCATAAGGTGAATCTTGTTTATCGGCATTGGCAACTAATCGTTTGGATCGTTGACGAATACTTGGTCCACGTTTGTAAAGTAAAGCTCCGCCACGCCAAAGAAGAATAGCAATAACACCGATAAAAAAGGTTGCTAAACTTGAAAAAAGAAAAGCAAACCAGTAGCGTTCACCTGAACACGAGCCAGCTAAACTTGTACTACTCGTCGATGTGTTACTGTTATTCGTTTCCATTGATAAAGATTAATAACTCATTTACTAAATAAGCAAAATAAGAAATCAAAAATGACGTGTTTTGTATCGACATAATGTATACAAGACAAAAAATGCTTTGTTGAGAAAAAAAAACGCGCATGAGAAGAGTTTGCCTTCTATCATTCCTACCACAAATATCGAGAGATGAAAGGGAAAGTCAATTATTGCTGTTCGAATTTCGCTTGTCACCACAGTTTTCCAAGAGGAAACATGGAAAGCTATTATTTATACAAGAATTACACAGATTTGTCTATTATTTGCCGACATATTTCTATTCAATCAACAAATAAAAAATTACAAATATGACAAACCTATGAACATTGATTGAATATTAGACGAGTCTTTAGAACAACTTAGATGTTACTGTCAGCTGTCTGTAATATAGAGCCATCGTGAAAAGAACCATACTTAGAGTAAATGAGAGACATGCAAAGCGATAGACAACGAAGATGAAGATGAAGAAGGAGAAAAGAGACCTCCCCCTCTTCGGTTCTATTAAGACATGGCTATCTTTTTTTCTTTCTCTCGTTTGCTAGAATCATAAAGCAATCTACAAGCACTAACGATGCTTAAGACTAACCTCTTTTCTCCACCCGCGCCTGATTAACATATTTATACGATGAGAGAACTATAGCAGTAACATCCGAAACAGCAACAACAACAGCAGCGACATTAACTCGACACCGGTCCTTTCTCCTTCACTGCACAAAGTGGAGACAAAAAGAAGGAAAAGCCGAACAAATAACGAATTGCTTCGACTCTCATCAATGGAAAAGAATAGAAATACAGTAGTCAAAGCTAAAAGGAACAGACAGGCAACGAAGAAGAAGATACTATGATATCATATCTTTTACTTAGGTCATATTCCTGTATCGAATGAATCAGAATTATCCTCGTTGTCTTCTTCTTCTTCTACTGCTTGCATTTATAACAAGGCCGTATATGCAAGAAATGACCGTGGATAATAAATGGCACTTATCCATAATTCAATCATATATATTTTCATACAAAATAAAGAAAGAGTCTTAACAATTTCCCTTCAATCAATAAGCGTGTATCCATATTGAATATTCCCTAATTACAGATAATCTTTGGAATCTTTTTTTTATTAAGTTTTTTATTCTTCACATAGGAAAAAAAGACGACATAATCATCAAGACATATATATTTTTTTTCTCTTTCTTCTTTTTAAGTTTTATTGGATTACTCCATTTTGCGTACTTCATTTATGGTGGACATGAAACGTCAGTGTCGCAACGCATCTTCATGAAATTATATCGAAGACCTCGCGGACATGAAAGAGAAGAGAGTGTATAACCATTACATTGAAAATATCTTCCGAATTTACAATTGATTGGATCAGCGTAGACGCCGGTCATTGGACACGAAAAATATGCTAAAAAGAATTTCTCTTCTTTCATCCATCATTCTACAATGTCGAGTTCACTTACACGATTGGCAACATTGACCTGTTATTCCCGGTGGACATCGACAGAAAGCGTAGACTAAGGAACCAGTGACTCTTTCTTCACAGACGCCACCGTTTTGACAAAGACCTGCCACGCAACGACCGAGTGTACCTAGATAAGTAAAACACGTGTTTATATTTTACGACGCCTTACAAACATTCTCGTGTCGAGACAGAGCAGACCGAAAACAGGACATTAGTGTTCCTCGGCTCGAGTGGACTAATAATAAGAAGCGAGCAAGACAATTGATACTAGAGAGGAAATATGATTACACAGAACATTTCTTTGCATTCTGTTCTTGGATTGAATGTCACCAAAATTTTAATATCACGAAATACCATCATGAATCAACAAGGAAGAAAACAAGTCATATCGTGATTCGAAATCATTTCTTTGATTTCAAATGGGAAGATAATTTGTTTCCTAATGAAATAAACCGATCCTAAACGATCGTCGCTTTTATCTATAGTTCGTGACATAAGTATGAAAACAGCTCTTATCAAACATTTCTTCGAATAGTTTCAAATTACAAACAGTAAATCAGCTTGCTATATGAATTCCAATAACATGATTGTTTTCCTATCCACTCAGACTTGCTTGAGATAGTACATTTTGTCTATATTTTTCTCACACTATTTCACCCTTTAATTGTGCTAATGTACTTAAGAATCTATTTTTATTCTGTCGTCGGTTTTGTTTGGCTATTTTCAGCTAGTATTGCAAAAGCAATACTATTTTCTGACTATCAGACTGCGAAGAATTCGGAAAGAATGTTGAATGACAAACTAATTATTCTCTCTCAGAAGAAATATTCGATGTCATTTTCGAGATTTTCTTACCAACTAATTCGCAATTTGGACCAGCAAAACCTAGATAGAAAGTACACAATTGCAATGTTGGCTTAGGACAAAGTTTCCTTACCAGCGGCACATGTGCAATGCATGATAACTCCATTTTCAGTCGGAGGATTAGGATTACAGACACCACCATTGGCACAAACTACATTTTGACAACCTGTTTGGCCTAAAGATAAGAAAACAAAGTGTATTCATTATCCAACTCAGGCAAAACATCCTTTTCACGCTTACCACTTGGTATTTCACAGTAAAGACCAGTATAGCCATTAATACACGTACATGTTCCGGTTATGCTATTGTACACACCTAATTAGATAAATAAAAACCTGATATTACTTTCTCATATTTTGCTCTTTTCCTTACCACCGTTGAGACAAATGCCAGTCGGAGGAACTGCTGTTGTTGTTGTCGTTGTTGGATTAGCTCCTGTGCGTATGTATGTCGATATTAGTTTTTATGATTTCATTTCTAATCGAAGATTAGCCTTACCGGGACATGGTCCTGGATTTAGATAATTATTTGTCCCATTTGTACATCCGCATGCATAGAACAGACCTTCAAAAAACGATCTTTCTATACAGACTCCGTTCGGTCCACAATTGATCGCATCACAGATACCTAAGATAAATGATTAGCTTAGGGAATCGTATCTCTATCGATAGAAAAGGCAATATCTCACGACAACGTCGATTTATTTCCGCATGTCCATCGGGACATGTACAAACGACATTATTAATATTATCTGTGGCTGGAAGACATTGATAATTAGGTGCCACAAAATCGCCTCCTAATTCACATGGATTAGTATTGCATTGAACTATAGAAATGAGCAAATAAATGTATGAAAATGAAACGAAAGATTATTCAGGAGTGAACACCTGCTAAAGAGAGTGTGAAGCACGCAAACGTGACCAACACCAATGAGAGTATACGCAACATTTTCTTCAAAGTAGGCTTTGTTAATCAAAAAAAAAACATGCTTTTATATCACCGGATTTTTGAAAAAAAAATATCTAATTTCGTTTTGGTATTTTCGCCTTGAAAAATAACATTCATACATATTGCATCCATTCAAGATCATATATCCTAATCAACAAAAAAACATCTTGACTACCTTGAGTCATGCAGATCATATTTCGTTTCGGATTTAAATAAATCAATCGACAAAGGACGAAAAATAAGATTCGCTATCACAACCACCAAGGAAAATCAATCGATGATACACATCGAGAGGATATACTTTCGCAAATCAAAAAGATATACAACTGATGATAGAAAGAGACAGATGTACTATCTAATTGTCTGTCTGTCTGTCAGTCAGTCATGGAAGTTATATAATACATCTGTGATCTTGTTTCGATCAAATTGTTCAATCAGATGACATTATTTTTATTGAATAATATATTGGTTATTCTGGTAAAATCATACTATTCCAATAGTTGTCGTTGTTTTTCATTAGCTGCCAGTCGGTCGAACTTCTTTTGCAAGTCTTTCTAAATGAATCATGTTCAGAAGTTTGTTAGTGTTACTAGTAAATGTCCGGGTGTATACTTGTCGTTTTTCTTTGATGGACTTGCATAGATTTTTCATATAGAGATGATCATTGAGTATGACGACATCACTACCGGTTAATTCTCGGATGCGACGAGCAACATTTTTTTGTAGTTGGTTGTCTCTGAAGCGTGAAATGTTCGAAAAATTATAAGAATCAATGGAATTTACTGTGGTAAGTGGTAGGGAATAGCATTAGCTCGGCGAATTTCGTCGAGAACATTCGTTTGACTAAGTTTTTTTAAAATTTCCTCGATAATTTCTAAACGACGTTGATTCGTTAAAGCACTTGGAATCACCGTTAGTATGTCCAAAGCTGGTTTTGCTTTAGAATTTGTTGGAGCAATGTCGAGATCATCGCATCGTTCGCGAATGATTTGAATTCTAATCAAGAAAACAGAAAACATACCACTGACACGATTGTATATCATTCGTACTTAAATGGTATTTTATCAAATTCTTCATTCGTCAATTCAGTGGAATCTTTTTCATCAACTGTTTGATTGTGTAGCTCTCGTAAGTGCAAAAGATTGACTTTAGGTAATTCAATGGATGGTTCACAAATAGATAGGAATCGACTGGCTCGTGTGGGCGGCTTGAAAGTTGAGGGAGACTTCGGTTCTTTGTCTTCTTGTTCATCTTCAACAAATCGAAGTTGTTGACGTTGACGACGAGAACTTTTGCGATCCTTCGATGCGTTTTCATCATTGGTTTCATTCGTATTGTCTGTTTCGTCTGTCGACATGTTTCACAACAAGGAAATGAGCAGTTCTGTGTTCGTTCGTGAAGCTTTAATGGGTAATCAAATTCAACAATAGATACGATCAAATTTCATAACAATAAAAATCACAACTGTTCGTACAAGTCTTGTTTTTCGAAAAACAAATTATTATCGTGGGTCATATTTGATCACGTCTGTTGATTTTTATATAAATGTAGTTAATAAACACTTGATTTAGTAACGAATTAGGATCTGTTGTATCCATTGAATGGACAGAAACAATCGTCTACGAAACCAATGTGAAAATAACCTTCTTATTATATCAGCTACGATATCAGGCTTAGAGAAAGAAAGAATAGAGAATGTGATGCATAGTTTATGATATAAGAAAATTCTTTCATGGTGAAACGAACAAAAATACATTTATTTGGACCTGATCAGTCACTGTCAAAGTAAGAAAACTAATTATGTACTCCCACATTAATAGCAAGTAGTGAAAATAGCCGAGTTTCAATAGATCGAGTTGTTCAGCATTAACAACTAACTATGTGATGTAATGCAGAGCTATTTCAGTTATGTTTCTATCTTTGTTTTTTCTCATTTTCTCACGTTTGTGCCATCGGCAAATATCGATTAACAATTATTAAAAATGTATGCGTATATCTACTTCAGTGACAGATAAGCTTCGCCGACTTGCTCTGGTAAAACAGTGTAATTATGTTTTGAGCATGTAGACCATCATTTGATCTGATAATCATGTCACTGAAAATTCGCTTCTGTTTATTGTCTTCTCGCTTTATTTATATAAGTATGCATGTGTGTAGATCACCTAACGTTATTTCGTTTGGGAGGAAGTCGATGTCTGTTCTTTTTTTCAATGTAAAATACAGATAATTCGTGCAAAAGGAGAGATCTTATGTGTTTTAATCTTCTTTCGATTTCCTTTCTAGTAAATTGAACATCTGATATTGATTGTCATGCATTTTGGTCTAATAGTTTTTCTCTTGGGCTTCGTTGTACTACAGGTAATCGTGAAAAAGCTCTTCATATCGATTCATCATTTTTCAATTTTGTTATTTCTAGCAATTTGTTCATGTAGAATCACTCGTATCGCCTATAAACAGTCCTGATAATGACGCTGGTCGACCATATTTTGCTCGACGTTTACGAGCTCCACTCATGGGCCGTACATCGCCGCTGTTAACCATCGATGGAATAAGCAATCAAAAATATACAGAGTCCGCTAGTAGTAGCAGCAGTGCAAGTAATGACGAACAGCCGGTTCAACTCGATAAACGACGGCCAGGTGCACCATTATTCGGTCGTCGATGGATCAATACGAAACGACGAGGACCACTTTTTGGTTAACTAATAAACATAAGCATATTTAAGATGTCCGTAATTATACAGAAAAAAAAGAATAAAAACATATATATTTATTTCTTCCTTCAGACTCTTTGTTGTCGACATCATTCTAGTACAATAGGATTTAATCGAGGTGTATATATATATATATATAAGCAAATGTATCTTAAAGAAATGGAATTGTTCAATCAGAAATCTCATCGTACTCTTGGCTGTTGATAGCATTTCCGCTGTTTTCACCGATAATTTGATTTCGTTCTTTTTCCAGGCGTTTCCTTTCATCCTCGTCGCGTCGTTTATACGTAAACCGAGTGACTAGGATGATAACGATGCAAACAGTACAAACAACTAGAACGAGAAAATTGACTAATTTTTCACGATTCGGCGCGACGAAAAGAAATACGAGGGTAACAACATTGATCCACTGAACAAGTATTGATGCTGATAATGATTCAGGAAGAGGATACATAATTTCTGCCAGAGCTTCGTAAATTAAGGGCGAAGCAGCACCCGAAAAAAGACCAGCTAAGCCAGTTGACAATCCAATTGTGAGTACCGTTGATGAAAGGATGTGTTTATCGTAGAATAAGCTACGAACACTGAGTTCAAACCAAACAATGGCTAGTAAACAGCCAATGAGGGAAATAAGAATAAGAATTTTCAAAGAATGTTGAAAGCGACGTGTGTCAGCAAGGTGACCTAGACCAAGACCACCGATGATTGCCGCTATAGTTGAACCAAAACCAAACCAACCTAGAGATATTAACAAAAGAATAGTCTCGATCAATAAAAGAAGAAGAAAATTTTACCAGCTTGTCCTTCAGTATAATGTTCCGGCTCTAGAAGGACATCGTACAAACCAGTCCACGCACCAAACGTTCCATACAGAAGTCCACCAGCTGTCGAAAGCAGCACAAATGAAGGCGTCGTTAAACATTTCCAAATGTCTCTCAAAAACGTTCGCCAATTATGACTCGTTTCTCCACCAGCTGGATTCTTTACCAGTAACTCTGCTGCAGCAGAAGGTGCCGTCGGTGGTTGAGCGGGAAAATAGACCAGCGAAAAAACGCACGCAGCAAATGCTAAACCAAAATGAATATAAAGAAGACGAGGAACATATTCAGGTTCAGAAACGATCAATGGACTAATAGCAAAACCCACTCCCGAGCCAAGATAATTCGCAAAGATAGCGACAGTAGTTGCACGTGTTCGCTCATGCGGAGCAAACCAGAGACACGATAGCTGCGAAACTGGTGCCATGACGAGAGGGCCACAAGCAGCATTCAATATTTGACCAACATGGATGAACGGTAATGCAAAAGAGCTAAAGTTCGGATGTGACGAGGAGAAAATAATTGATGGTAATATTCGAGATAATGCTCCGAAAAAGTCAGCGATGGCTAGTAGAAGAACACAGTAGCGTAAACCATTTGCTTGATTTAGTAGAATAGAAGTCAATGGTAAACATGGTATGAAGATAATCGGTCCCCAATTAAGAAGAAGATCAACAGTTGCTTCGGTCACATTGTAATAAGTCTCCGTACTTCGAGCGATAGGAGAGAATGTTAGCCACATCATACATTGATTGAAAGACAAAAACGAAAAAACAAACAGAATGTAGAATCGCTGCGGATAAACTCGATACGCTGCGATTGACTTGACAGCAAGAAGCGATGTCGTTTCATTCGATTCAGGTGCCATTGCATATGGTTTTCAAATAACGAACTGCCGACTTGACACACCTATTGTTATATGTTGTCTACCCTTTTACAAGTAACAAAAAGACAACTCGAAGATAAACATGTGACAAAAAGTATTATTGATATACTTTTATCTTTTCATTTAAAAATATAAATAAACAAAAGAAAATATACTGCAAGAGCATAGATATCAGTCTGTATCGAATGCAATCTACGTCGGAGTTTGGATATCAATCAAGGTCTTTTGAAGATAGTTCTCATATTTATTTTAAAATCGTCGTCATAGTTAAATAAGACTTCGACGAGAAAAGCAAATTCAATTTTTTTACAACAACTGTATAAAGAAATACGAAAGGAAAAACGAGTAATCGTTGAGAGTCTATTCACAAACACATATTGAGATTTAATTACGAACGAAGAATATGAAGACTGATATACAACATATCGAAATACAAAGAATTTAACATACAAACACATACAGACTTTTAAAAACAAATATTGGTACCAACGATAAACAAAAACATCAAGATTGAAGTTCGCCAAATTGAGCACAACATAATTTACAACGCCAGTCACCTTCAGGTGCTTTTGATAGAGGTGGAGAACAACAATACATATGATAACCACTGAAATTGACGAGAATAAGCAAATGTTGAAATGAAATTTTAGGCGATATTTACCGATCACAATCATCGCAAAACAAAAGTTCGGAATCATTCTCAGAATTACCACATTCTGTACATGTTTTACATTCCATACATTGCCATGGATAAGTTTTCACTTGTCGAACCATATTAGGAGTAAATTTGAGACACGTTGGATGTGCGCAACCACCACAATCCTACAAGAAAGTAATAAATCAATACGAGCTCGATTCATGATGACAAAGATTCTCTAATATACCTTGCAAGTAATCATTTGTTCGGGGAGTTTTGTTGTTTTATTTTCATGCTCGTCGCCAGTACAAAAATCACATTGAACACCTGTCGTAATACCTAATGATGTATCAACATTCGACATTGGTGGCTTCGATTGTTGTTGTTGCTGCTGTTGCTGAAACTGCTGGTGTTGTTGTTGTTGTTGTTGCTGCTGCTGCTGTTGCTGCATCATCATCATATGTTGCTGATGCACCATTGGATGTGGTGGTGGTGGTTGTTGTTGTTGTTGTTGAGAATAATAAGGATTACCAGTAGCAGGCGATGAACCCGAGAGAGCAGCAACTGTTAATGGCATCGATACTGATGGAGGCATGGATTGATGATATGCTTGAGGAGGCATTCCATATGGTGCTTGTTGTGGAGCATGATGATTCATTGGATATGGAGGTCCTGGCATATGACCACCTAAAGAAATAAGCTTGAAGCTTTACACACTATTGTATTTCACAATTGCGTTACCTGGAGGATTATGTGGGCCAGGTCCACCTGCTGAAGGCTGATTTGAGTACATTGGGTGCGTTTGTGGATGTTGTTGTTGCTGTGGATGATGATCCATAGATGGATTCATGTATTTTTGTTTCATAAGCGCTGCTGACGCATTGGTCGATGATGGTGATGATGATCCACAACTATCAGCGGTCGAAGGTGTTGTGGTTGACGGTCTATAGTCTGTATTGGTCTCTTTATGTTTAGCAAGATGATATTGAAGTCCAGGTTTTGTTTTATATCGCGCTGGACAAAATTCACAAACGAACGGTAATTCAGCTAGTGTATATTGTTGTCGTCGATTTCCGGTCGGAGTTCCACTTCCAGGTATTCCACTTCCGGGAGCATTGCTGCCAGCTATGAATGAGAATAAACGCATGCATAACCTACTATTTTCAAATGTGTTCATCAGTCTCAATTACCGGTCTTCCGTGAGCTCGAATTTGATAATCGCTTAGTAGAACTGCCACGTTTAGAACGCAAAGTTGATGAAGAACCAGGAGACGTTGGACCACCAGGTGTTGTTGGTCCACTTCCACCGTAATCATCGTAATCGAAATCATCGGCATCGTCGTCACCATCGAGAATATAATTGTTCGAATGAAGGTGATGATGGTTATGAGTTGTAGGATGCTGAGGCCAATGCGGTTGTGAAGGTTGAACAAGAACAGTCATAGGCGGTGCCGAAGATTGAGATGATTCATCACTAGATCCACCTGTGAATCGACCATTTCCCGCGGCAGAATTCTCAACAGTGGATATAACATGAAGATCTGAATCCGACATTCCTACAAGAAGTTCATACTTTCTAATCATTTCAACGGATGATATTTTCCATTATCTTACCAAGGCTACCAGCTCGTACCGCTGTACGTGGATCATCTTCTCCTGCACTTGTGTTGACTCCGTTTACTTGCTCGTTTTTTGTTGATGATGCTGTTGATTGTTGTTCGTTAATGCCATTGGTAGTGCTTATTGCTGGTGGATGTGCTCTTTTCTTATGCCACTGTTTTCTCGCGTATGATGCTATTTGATCATGACGAGCAGGTATCAAACGTTGCGTTGAACTTTTCCATAGATAATTTTGTGTCGGCATTTGAATAATATGAGTTTGTGAGTCGACAAATGGCAAACGTAAACGAATACGTCTTTCACGTAGCAGGCGGGAATTGAATTTATTTACACTTGATACTGCATCTGTGTAAGTACCTTCGGAACCGAATGCACGTACTACACGTGATGGTAAGAGATCGATCATTCTCTGTCGAATACACAATGATGCAGTTCGATTTACTAGTGCTTCATTGAGCAATGCTAGCTGCTCACTTTAGCTTTGTTTGTATGTAGTTCATTCATTTGACGCTTATCGTTCATAAGAATGAACCAATGAAATTGTTGACCTCTACAGTAGACGAAAGAAAATAGAGCGCGCCTGTTCTGCTCGTTCTCTGTGTATAATTCGTTGTGAACAGGAGCGAATGTAAAGAAAGAGAGGCCTTTTCAATCCTTTGTTTCCGTTTTCCAATTGATTTAAATTCTAGTCAAATATAGATCTTTCGTATTAGTTTTCTTGATAGTTGTAATCATGATAACGTACAGCGCCAAGCAGTTGATGAATCTTTGTTCGGATTATGCACTAGATGCGCAAATTCAAAAGATTCTCTTCTCATTAGATTTATGGGTGCCGAAAGCTGCTCGTGTAAGTCTATTTCTTTCAATCATTTGATTTTCTCTAATCATTTATGAACAGGAAGTACAAATTGATAATGTTGCTCAACAACAATACGCATCTTCGATGTACTCTGGTTTTAATCGTGCAAGGTATATACATTTTTATAACAGAAGACTCGCCTTCAATCTACTCTTTAGATCCCCAACAAGAAACGAGAATATCATTGATACAAGTAATGTTAATCAAAGATTTAGCCGGACATTTGCTTCACGATCGATGTCAGCTGGAGTTGTCCATCATTCAACGGATCATGGATCCTTTTGGAAAAATGAGTAAGGCGATCTTCGACTGTACTTTATTCTTCTAGTTCTCTATTTGTTCATTTCAACTTAGTTCACGAGATTCAACTAAAACAATGAGTACATCCTTGACAAAGAAATCCAGCAATGGTACAGCAACTGACGAACCTACCTCAACAAATCAAGCTCAAATCAAGCTAATGCCTATTCTCGAAGGTGGAGAAACGGAGGATAAGTTGTCTGAATTACCCACTCGATTAAACAAAGGAATATCCTTAACAACTACAACACTCGATTGGACACCGAATGAGTAGATTGAATAAAACTACCAGGATATTAAGAAAATGAGTTTTTTTCCCTAGAATGGAATCCTCAACCAGTGTTGGTCGCTCAACGATCGATGCGCTTTTCGAACTAAGCGTTCGTGCTGATTCAGCTCTCAAAACAGCGCTATGTGAAAATGCTGCATTATTATCAGTAAATCAGCCACAACAAAGTAGCAATGACCGTCTTTCATTACGTAAAAGTGTTAGTGTGATGAATCAAAAACAAAAAGCTGGCAGTGGTCGTTCACTTATACGTGCCAAATCGGATATGGTTGGCAGTGATGCTAAGTAAGTGAACGGAATGTCGTTGTCTTTTGAATGAGCTCATATTTTACTATCGCGTAGTCGAAAACGTGCCTTAGCACATATTGCTCGTGCATCTGAACGTTACTTCAGTGATGATCCTAGAATGATTGCTGAAATTGAAGAAATCGAACTTGAATATCTGTTTAAGTAAGTATTGATTTCGATAGTTGAACAATGTTGAAACTAATTCTCCTCTCTTGTTAAGTTACATTCGTCATTTGAAAACGTTTCCCAAATATTCAACTATGAACGAAGATGAAATCTTATTGGAAGTAGAAAGTGATCCACATACATTACGGCAACGAACAAAAGAAATTCTCAAAGGAAAAATGTCAGATTCTTATGCTGCCTACATTGCCAAATATCCAATAAAGTATAAATGAAATTGTTCATTTGAAATATGTTTTCTCATGGCTATTTGTTTCATCATAGGAAACAACGTCGACGCGAGCATCCGACATCGCCAAATAAATATCGTAAATGTTCTCGACGATGTTTCGATGGTCAACTGCGTACATGGCGTCGTAATTTACATCAATTCGATGAAAATAACCAACAACAAATGTCCGATGCGATCGAATTAGATCACGTCAACGAACCAACGTTAGTATCTTAATTCAATGTTCAAATGATCAAGTCTAGTAGACGTATCACGCGATAGAACAAACGATCGATTTCATTCATCTAATTGTTCTGCTCAAGACAATGCTACGGTGTATCTGTTAGCTTCTTCTTTGTCCCACATTTCACATTCATGTACAGTTTGCTTATTCATGTATTTGTATTTTTGACTTATTTTGGATTACTCCAGCTGATGGATATCTTTCTCTTATATAATACAAATACAAAACATTTTATCTCATTTGTATCATTGCAAGACATATCGAACGAAGTTGACATGATGTACAAGATTGACTTGTACTTTTCATAATCTCCATTGTTGATGGTTTTATGGTATCAGAAGTAGTTAATCATTAATCTCATCGTTCGCTGATGATGAACAGCTTTTCGGAGCTTTAAATTATCCTGTCATTATGTTCGATAAAAGACAACAACTGTAGTTCTTCTTCTCGGTGTCTGTATTATGCAAATAGTTATTGAATCTAGTCGAATGAAGGAGTATATTCATGACGATGAAAGACAAATCGGCTGTTTTAATACATGAGAATAGGAGAGAGAATGAGACAATGCGATTGATTTCCATACTCTACTTTCGTCTTATTGTCTTTCTTTTGTTTGACACCAATTCAGTTTCTATGTGTATATAGATCTCTCTCATTACCGGTGTAGACTGATAGAAAAAGGATCATATATATTGCTTTTTCCTCTCATTACACGATCCTTAGATAAACTAATCCGAGCTGCCTGTCGTACACACTCATACGCTCCGCCTCAACCTCCTTCATCGAGTGTAGCTACGTATGTTTTGTTCACACACATTGTCAACATGAATAGTCATTCCGTATAATATCAGTTGACCTCATACAAGTGCGAGTGATTTGATCCGAACGTGTATATATTTTTTTTCTTCATCTTCATCTTTACTTTTGTTGAACAAGAATCGATGATGGTAATAATAATGATGAATTCTTGCATCGTTTCTAAACTAAAGCTATGAACATAATCTCATTTGGGTGGCTAGTTGTCCTAGTCACTGAATTTACTCATGTAGCTTATGCCAATTGGATTACTGGTGAGAATTTTTGATTTTGGTCAAAGTGACATTACGCTTTTGCCTTCTTGCTTTAAAGGTAATCTATGCTGGTCGATGCCCTGTCTGAATGGTGGTTCGTGTTTTGGATCAGCATATACGTATCTTTGTGTCTGTCCTGTCAATTACAGTGGAGCTTTGTGTGAAAGACGTCTTGGTACGCAAGATTATTCGCTTGAGAAATATCTACAATTATTGTTTTACTTCTCGTATTTTTACATAGGTATTTGTCAAGAAAGTCCCTGTGGTAATCGAGGTCTATGCATTGAAACTGGTTTAACTTCATTTGAATGTCGATGCTATTTTGATTATATGGGTCCATTGTGTGAAGAACATGTACCTAAGAAAAATCCTTCCATATGGTCATGTGAGTTTCCACATTCATTGGCATATCACCGTATATGATCGTTTTTTTAGCACTCATACCTGTACATACACGAGTTCTATTCGATATTTTACAAGACGCATATCGCGCTAAAGCTCATGGTCGATCAACCATCAATTCACATAACGATTTCATTAACTTTTCCGAATTCTTATCTACAGATGATAGAACATTCATACCTATAACAACATCTCCAACATCAACTGGATTGACTTCTCTGAATCCTCCAAGTGACACAACCGAAAATGAACATACCATTCAAGCTACTAATATTCAATTACAAAACATATTTCCAGCAGTGAGTACTACATCAATATCAAGTATGATTACACAAACTTTGTCAACACAAGAAAATATTTCTAACAATGAATACATCTCATCGACGTCCTATGAAACGGACACCATTGATTCATCAACAATACTTGCAGAAGAACTCACTTCAATAACTAGTTCATCTGCAACTACGATGGAAAATCTCACCACAATTTCTTTCGAAGCAAATGAAACGATGTCCTCAAATATCGCAGAACCACAAGAATTCGCCAATACCACTGAACAATCTGTCGTCATGCAGGACAATTCAACATATTTAGATCAATCAAGCTATAACAGTGAAAAAAATACAACCAGTTTTACATCAGAAGTTGTTTTCAATTCCACCGAACAAATCATCATTTTTACTGTTAATGAAAACGAAGAATCGATCCCGAATACAACTCCACAAATAATGGGCAAGATTTCATTTCAAACAAGCAATTACTCATCGAATGACAACGATACTGATCTATTCAATACAACCGAACAAACAATCGCATCAACCATGGGAACAGCTGATCAATCTTATACAACGGATCAATCGTCTCATAGTCAATTACTTTATAAATTATGCCAACAACTACTTTCGCATATTTTACCAAATATATCGTCGACTACGGCCGTCGAAGCAGCTCTATCTTTAACCGCGGAATTACCATCAACTAAAAACAATACAGCTGAAACACTTCTTACATGGATTCAGCAGAAGTTTTCTTCAACAACAACGACAACAACCACTACGACTACCATCAGTACAACAACAACAGCAACAACAGAAATTCCGTCATCATCATTATCATTATCCGCTTTGTTAACAAATGGGAGAAAAATTTCATTGCAACGAGTTGACATAGATGATGTGCTTTATCAAATCAATGATAACACTGATGATGATGATCATCATCATCTTCCATAGCCAGCATCCAATTCTCATCTTTTGGCGAACAGTCTACTTTATTCGCTTGTTTGCTTGCCTTTTTTTCATACAAGATATTTGTTTAGTAGATCTGTTCTTCCTTGTGTTCAATGAATTGATAGAACATATCGATTAGATCATTGTCCACCTTGCGTAACTCACAGTCATTTGATCTATTCAGCTAAACATCGAATGGATCATCTGTCACCTATATCGAATATTAATATGATTCACATCTTTTATTGAATTTAGGAGAATTTCCTTTTTTTTCATTTTTATATGCACGGCGTTGCTGTAATTTAGATTAAAGATAAATATATCCCTACTCATATTAACCCAACTTTAATCAAAAGTCAGTTGTACCTTACCAGTGAACTAGTTTTTCACACAACGAGAGTAATCAATATATTTAGATCACACGTTGATAGATGGAGCGTATTCAAACATAGACAGGGTGATTACAAAGTCGAAAAGTGATCAACCGTGGCTTATACTCTTGAACACGATCTTGCATGAAATCAATTACTCATTCGTATTTGGCACGTTTCGAACTTTAATTTCATTTACTTCGTAGGAGGATATTTCATAAAAGTCCATAGAGATATAATCTATTCTGCGTATAAATAGAGAGAGAAAGTTGAGTAACTATATAGGTTCCAACGCATCTGATGGTTTCTAACTACTACGCAGTTTTTAAGTAAGCCATTTGGTACGTAGTTTTTTGCATCGTCGATTGGTATAGAGTAGATGGATAAAAGGTTTCTCCTAGATTTTACGAAAGGGGTGCACGAGAAGCAGTGGGCTATTTCAGATGAACTTCACATTCAATTGCTTTCGATATTTCGCTTTTGTACGATGTATAATAGATGTTACTACCTTCGTTCGAGAATCAACGAAATGCCTGAATTGATTGTTTAAAATGGTTGTTTATGTTTAAGATTCATTTTCCATAGAAGCGATTCTATCTTTTATTTATACAATATGAAATCCTTCTACACATATATGCTTGTAGCAGTTATTTTACTGCTTTCAACTTCCACATCCGCTCACCCTCCTTCAACCTATGAAAATTCTTTTCCATATGAAATTTCCTCAGAAACTGATCCACAAGGGCAGATAATCGTTCCTGTCCCACCGGGAGGTATCAACAAGTGGCTCCAACAGCTCATAGCAACGATGGGTCCAGTGTCGGATGGTGAGTGATTGACTTGTGGTAGTAGTTGTAATTGTATATGTCGTTTTTTTTAGAGCGTATGCGACGTGGTTGGGGTAGTGGTCGTCGTCGTCGGTCCGCCAACAAAAACCATGAATAAAATCTAAAGGCTACACACACTGTCTTTTTCATTACTAGCAACTTGTTATTTCTGCCTTCATTATTCATTCTTCGGCAAAATAATAAGCGTCTAATTTTATCAGAAATAAAATCTATTCATCGAACTTCATTTTCATCAAGTAAATTAGAAGTCAAACACCTTTTCTTTTCTTCACTGTAATCATGCCAATGAATCAGTCATACATATCGTATTGTAGGTCGAATAAAGTCATACATTTTATAATCATTGAAAGAAAACATCAACGACAGAGACTTATTGATCTAAAAAGGCGTCGATAGTTCGTTTTCTTGCAATAGAAACACATGTATACCAATAGAAATCCTATAGATCAGCGAACGAACTATCAGATGAATCATATATATAAAAGGATACCAAGTTTCTCATATATATTTGCAAGAAGGTTACATAAATTCTTTTAGTTTTCATGCGATGATTGTATCCAAATGGTTCGATCGTTGTTTAATAGCATATAAGAAATCTTCTAAATGATTTTTTGAATACCGTTCGAATTATCGCACTTCTTTCTTGTTCCTGTTCTTGCATTGCGGTCAATATGTGTTATTTTTATTGACTCCTTCATTTAACAAGTTGAAATCAGACTAGTCTTTTTCTTCGAATAGATATGAATCGTTACTATTCAGATTCAGACGATGAATACCCGAATCAGCGTCGAAGGTCTGATAGTGTCATGAAAACTGACTGGCAGCCGTCGTCAGGAAAAAAACTTTCTCCCACATCATCTTCTTCGTCTGTAACTCGAATCGTCGTTGAATCTCCGTTTGGTTCGAAAAAATGTGATTATTCTATTGATAAATCTCAACGTGGCATATTAATTGTCAACGCACGTCGTCGGTCAAGTTTATCATCGGATCAACGTCCATCAACAAATAAAAAACAAGTTGCTGTACAGAAATTCACTGTTCCACACGATGCCGATGTCGATCGTTTACAATCTCATGTTGAGCGAGACACGAATCGCTTGATTATTGAAATTCCTCGTATTCAACGTTCGAGTTCGCGTGCTCAACAGCGTGCATCTTATATAAGTACGACGAGCAATACGAATACTCGTCTGTTACGTTCACCCGACGTCGAACGAATGTTAACATCACCAACCGGTGGTCCACAATTAATCCTTGATGATTCAAAATCGAACAAGCGTAATTCCAATGGAAGTCGTAAACTTGAATATCGAATTGATTGTCATGGTTACTTTGCTGATGAGTTAGAAGTGTTCATCCAAGGTCGAGACTTGATTGTACAAGGAAAAACTAACACATCGAAATCTGCTGATCCAACTGAACAACGTGTATCGAAGAAGTTCACAAGAAAAATCACTTTACCAAGTTCCGTTGATTTGCCCAAAGTTGTTTCCTATTTAGAACACGGAGAATTACGTATTGAAGCACCAATTAAACGTGGAGTTCATCATAGTGATGAAGAAATTATTTTACCCGGACCGCCACCAACATCCATATCCGATCGTGCAAGAGCTTCAATCATAACAAATCTGGAAAATCGTGCTCTTTCACCGACTGTTTATAGTCGACCCCATTATCGACGCAACGAACGCGTTGGTCGTCGTCGAGATTATGATCGATCAAATAATCGGCCTGTGTCAAGTCCTACACGGCGTGTACGATCTAGCGAAGGTCTTCGTTATCCTCTTTATGTATCGCCTCGTGAACTTGACGACGATGATGAAGATGATAGTAATCGAAGAAAACGAGAAAGTCGACGTCGACGGTCATCGGTCGATCATCAATACCGAAAAGAGTCCGAACAACGACAACAATCGCCATATAGATTAAATTATTCTCCTATCAATAATCATACTACAACTACAACAACTGTAACTCATCATCAAACCTATCCATCCGATGATGATAGCTATTTGAAATTTTGAAATGTAATAAACTGAAAACGAGAGCTTTTTCTTTTAGTAATTCAATGTACTTTTTAATCCTCCACACAATACAATTTGTAAGAAACTTTATTTTAAATAAAAACGATAATCGAAAACATCTACGAATCTTGATCCGCTTACGGATCTTACGCGAGTTTTTGGGCAATATCGAAGGGCATACGATTCGTATGTTACATAAACAGACTAAAGAGCAAAGAAATACGATCGATCCATTGTAACCAATATAAAAGTATAGACTATTTAACCTTGTAAAAGGGTCTGATGGCTCTTCATTCAATAATAAAGTACTAAATAATTGATGGAAATAAGTCCAAAGGGTGTTTAAATACAAAGAAAACATTTTTTTTTCTGGTTTGTCTTTCAAGATTTTGTCGTTCAATCGTACTTCCTTCACATGTACTGAATGGATCGAGCATATACAACGAAAAAAGTAAAGCCAACGTATGTTGCTCGTTGCTTATATCGTTTTAGACGTCTCCATTTTGTTACATATACTTGCAGATGTGAAACATGTGCTGATTGTCAATTTTAGGGCTCCTTGTTCCAGAACGTCCAATAGATGAAAGGCAGGTTGTATTTATCTTTCGAAAACGGATGTTTTCAGTTTATTTTCTGAGTGAACTTTCCGCAGGAGTTTTTACGTTTCTACTTAAAGTAATCAAGAATTACGATTATCCAGCTACAACCGAATTGTATCGTAGCTACATTGCTAATATTCATTTTCCTATTTTATAGAATGACGAGATATGACGTTTGCTCGACAGAATATAATTTGATCATACGTATGATGAACAAACTCCTGTGTGAGATGGCGATTGTCGCTGCCACTTAGTCAGACGTACCGATCTCTTCTTACGTCGGTCGCGTCATTTCTCTGTTGGTACTGTCCCTTTGATCAATAGCTGAAGTTCGCTAGATGTCTTCGGTCTTTTATTAAACTATTTATAATTATTGTAGAGATGACTATGTTTTACTAGGAAACAAAAAAAGAGATTTTATCGTATCTGCAATTATCATTCATTTTGAAAATGTGTTGAGTAATTAAACAGTATGTTCTTTACAACAAATGACTTGGACACCGAGAATAACTTCATTACGTGGTATTAATCAGTTTATGAAAGGATTTCCTTAAATGAATGCATATATTTATTTGACTGACAATTGATTCCGTTTATCGAATTGTACAATACATATTTTTAAAAAAACAAGCGAACACACGTAAGACAATAGATAGATGTAAATAAATAGAATTTATAATGTATGAATAGATATAGTGTCATCCAGCGACTAGTATCCATTTGTATTATCAAGTAATAAATATTAGATTAGACTCGTCGAAAAAAATAAACAATCATAAAACTTGCTACCATGCCGCTAAGAAAAATGCCAAGTGTTGCTAAACGCGATTGCGGTGCCACATCACGCAAGATAATTAACTAGAAAATTGTGATAAAGATATTCGACGAGAAGAGTCGAAGAATCTTACCCAGCCACCTCTGCGTACAATCCATGGAGCGATGATTTCTCTGACAAAACGTACCGTCCATTCGATGAGAACATTTACAATTGCTGATGGTTCATTTTTGAGTGACTAGAATCCAAAAATTTGCATCTGAATTGCAGGCATTCTTGATTTCTCACCTTTAGAATAAGTTTATATGTGAAATAGAACAATGTAACAATCCGCCCCCAGTTGTAGATACCATCGCAAAATAGTTCGTTGGCTACATCACTAAATGTTTCATACGGACTGTTAATAGATACTTGATTAACCATGCTAGTATAGAAAGAAAAGGAGATAGTAAAACAAATACTCATGCTTTTGCAATTAAAGAAGGCATGGAAGGGGCGTCAAGGTATTAAGCAAGCAATCGATCTATTCGGACTTACCAAGAAAATAATTAGCTTTAAATGAGTCTTTAGAGAAAGAAGAGTTGATATTTATGTGAACGTGAAAAATTTCTTTATACCTGGTAATTCGTTGATCGGCATCGAGTTGATCACCAATAAGACGTAATCGACATGCAATTTGCTGGATTTGTCGATATTGTGGAACTAAATTTTCAAGAGACACTATACTGTCGTTTTCACATGTCATCTATTCCACATACGTGCAGTCAGATCAACATCGATGATCGGCTTGACTAAACTCATATCGATACCATCTTCTGCAGCTCGTTCAACGATAAATTCCTCCAATATATAGCGAGTTTCTTCTGTAACATCTGCAACACTTTTACTATACGGTGAACTATCCGTATAATCCGTAGCTATAATAGGAGATATCGGATTAAATTTTGAAGAGATTTTTTTTGTGAAACATACGGATATAGGGTACAGATGCAAAACGCATGGAATAAAAGTCTGATGCATCGGCAGAAACAAGTTTTGATTGCGTTTTGGAAGGCATGATGCTCTGTGATTACGATAATACTGCACTTATTCAAAGAAACGATCGAATTAAACTAAACAATCGTTATCTGTGTTCATTCATCGATCTTACAAAGTCCTTGATGCATATCCAATAATAAACCTGCTGATTGAACTCGATCATTTCTTGACATATTCTTAATAATGAACATTTTTCGCTTGATATAATAATAATAATTCCAGTGCATTGTATTTCTTTCGCAAGTTATAGATGTCGCTTCTGTTAGTTGAAGTTCGATATCGGTTTTTTTGGAATTATTTTCTTTCTTATTCTCCCTTAGTGTTAACAATTGTCATTGTTCAACATTTTTCGAAAAAGGAGAAGGAGAAAAACAAAGAATATTCTACACATACGCACGCACATATGTACTAAGGAAACATTGAACAAAAAATAAAAAGCGCATAAGACTACTGAAGATCAATCGAACGAAAAAGAAAAACCAAAATAAGATGTAGAAATTTTATTTTTCGCCTTTTTTTCTTTATTTTCTGGAATATTTCATTAAAGTTCGGTCACCGGAACAGTACTAGGAGGCACAGAAGATAATGATCCAGAAGAATAGGTTGTCGTAGTCGAGAGTTTTCGATTAGGATCTGTATTGTAGTATCGGGAATGAATTTG